CTTTTTTACCCCCTTCTTTTTTTGGGTATACTCTTTTTTTTTTTTTTTTGGTATAATACTCCCTTCTTTTAGATTTGAAGGATAACTGTCCACTTTGCTTCAATTCAGACTAAAGGCCTGTTTGGAAGACTTTTTTTTTTTTTAAAAGCTATTTTAAAAAAAAATATTTTTCAATTTAAATTTGTTTGGATGTCTATTTTTAAAAATATAGAAGTCACAATAAAAAGTCAAAAATCTATTTTTTTAAGAAGTTAAAAACCAAATATATTTTTCAAACATTAAATAATATAATTTTTGTTAAGAACCTTGAGGTCACCGCCCCAAAAGCTAGCTCAAGAAGTGAGAGTGTCCAATGCCTTATAAAGGTCATATTAGTTGCCCATCTAATCAATGTGGGACTATATATCTCAACACGCCCCCTCACGCAAGAGCCCTTTTAAGCTAGAAGCGTGGAAATTGCACAGACCCATTTTTGGTTTACCTTTTTGTGCTTTTATTTATTTGTTTTAATTCCACTTTTTAAAGCGGGGGACGGTGAAGCTCTGATACCATGTTAAGAACCTTGAGGTCACCACCCCAAAAGCTAGCTCAAGGAGTGAGAGTGCCCAATGCCTTATAAAGGTCATATTAGTTGCTCATCTAATCAATGTGGGACTATATATCTCAACAATTTTTATTAAAAATATTTTTAAAATAAAAATTACTTTTTTTATAAGCCCAAACAAATGGGCTCATGGTGCAAGCAATATGACTTGTCAATTGTCATAACATTTCGTGCATGTTGGATTAGATAGTTTTTTTTTTTGTCCCTTTCTTAAACGTGACATTAAATTTTAAATATTGAGTTTATTAATTTTACTTAAAATTGTTCTTATTTTCTTTTTAAGAGTTTATATGTTTCTAATTGGGTCTTTCGTCTTTTTAAAATTTTAAGGGATGCAAGTTATCACTGAAATGAGTTAAAAGAAGGAATTTTCACCCCACCTAAATTAGGACCTGCTGCTCTTGCCAAATAAAATGGCAGCCGAGAAATACGAATCCAAAAGCAAAAGATCCCTTTTGCAAAGTGGATGATAATGTTGTTTGTTCCGCTTTATTCCAGAGTATTGCGAATTAACGCTGGAAGTTTTCTTAAAATTATCAAATTAAAAGTAATGTCAAGATTTGATTGCACCATTTCTTGCATTCATCTATAAATGGTCATTGTAAAAATACCTTTGATTGCCACAAGAGGTGACAAAACGAACTAGGCTCGGCGAACCAACCCGCTAAATGGAGCGAGACAGACTGAGTTTTTCAACCCATCTTAAAAGTGGGAAAGGGCACGGCAGACTCATTTTTTGACGGGTTGATAGTGGGCATAGGCGAGCCGAGACTGGTTAGTGTAAAATAGGCTCGGGCTGGCGGGTCAACCCGCCTAACTCGTTAAACGGGGCTGGGCGAGCTGAGTTTTTCAGTCCATTTTCAAAAGCGGAGCGGGGCGGGCTGACTTATTTTTTGGCAGGTTGATGGTGGGCCCCGCCCACTTTGCAACCTCTAATTGCCACTAGCCAACAACTAGAAAAAGATTTTAACCTATTCGCACAGATTGACCTTACATTAAATTCATCCGGTTTTTGGGGTGTGTTGCTTGTTTTGTAGATCTTTTTTGGGTCTATGGTAAGTTCCATTGTCTCCGTGTTTGTTTGGACTCGAGTGATGTCAGTCTGGTCCAGGGAAAGTCCGTGGCGGGGACCACCACCAATGAGCTAAGCTACACCAAATACACTAAGTGGATCCGACACCATATCTCAAACGAAAACCTAGGCTAGCTTGAGCCCAACCTGGCTGTGATACCACTGTCAGACGGGTCTAGGGGAAGCCCATGGCGGGGGATCACCACCAATGAGCTAAGCTACACCAATACACCAAGTGGATCCGACATCACATCACAACCCAAAACCTAGGCTAGCTCGAGCCCAACCCGGCTCTGATACCACTGTCAGGCGGGTTCAGGAGAAACCCATGGCGGGGGACCACCAGTAATGAGCTGAGCTACACCAAATACACTAAGTGGATCCGACACCACATCTCAACCCAAAACCTTAAGGCATTGGGTTCATGAGTCCTTCTACTTATATACTTTTCCACCTAGATTATTACAACCAATATAAAACTCATCACATTTAAATATCCCACAAGTGATACTGAGTTTGTGGATTGACTATTATCTTTCTTAGTCAGAGTGGATAAGGTTCCCTGGTTAAAGTGTGGATTCGCCTATTGGATTTGTGATTTTGGGTTAATGGCAAATGGGTATGACCTGAGTGATTGGCTCTTGTTGCAGCCAGCCCAATAGCCAATATGGGACAGCCATCTGGACTATAAGGTTCCGGCCCCTAAGGAACAGCCCAGTCAACTTTGGTGAGCCATCCAGATTGTTGACCTGGCCCAGCCCTAAATGAGCCTATCATGGACAACCCAACTTATATTTTCCCAGCGTTTAAATGTCCGAGCCATTTTGTTTTGTCAGACTATTGGGTCAGTTTGTCAAATTTGGTTTATTTGGACTTACTAACATTCAAATATACAGACAATGATATGAAAATTTTACATCTAAATTTATAACTGGCAAAATTAAATATTATGGTAAATTACTACAATATATGCATTATTAAACCCAAAGTTAAGGCTTAAACTTATGTATGGGTTTTCTCAAATAAGAAACCCGTACGGTTAGTTTAATGAAATCCTAACTTATATTTTGTTTTTAAAGTTGACATTCTCAGGAACTAAATATTCAAAAGTATTATGCTTGATTTTTTTTAAATTCTATTTTCTATACAAAAATTTCTGTATAAATAACAACTATTTTAGAAAAGTCGAAGAAGCTTGGCGTGCGGTTAAATCTAACCTTAAAAAGTCCCTTTTTACACTGGTAAATTGGACAAAACATATGGCTATAAAAAAAAAAAAAATGACAAAACATATTGACTTGCGTAACCGCAGTTACCCACCCGAGTGCGATTTACATTGGGAGAAAAATCAATTCACGATTGTAATAAAAACTAATAATGCTATATTTGCATTTGTTTTGCTAGTGCCACTTAGACCTCGATGTGTACGAACACCAGTTAAATCAATTCTACAACTATGCACAATTAGATATGAAGTGTTCTCTAAATTACAGTTTTTTTAATTCCATCAATAACCTTTCAGAAGATGTTCTTTTATGTTTTAAATATTCAAGAATTTTGTTTATTTTTATATATTTTTTTGGTAATCAGTTTATTTTTATTTTTATCCTTGATTTGATTATGCTTATTATTTCTTCATATGATCGATATCTGGCCTCATTAGTCGGTCAAACTTTTTTCTAGGCCAAAACAGATTATTTAAACATTCTTTTCCTATTAGGCTAATAAAGGGCTATTACTCCACTTGATCCTCTATATATAATTATATACGAAATATTAAGTAAGTTTTTAAAATATTTTAAATATCAGTTTGATCCTTTGTGATGTAAATAAATATTAATTTAAAGATTAAGGTAATGTCCATATTTAGCATTGATGTATTACATTTTTGGAGAATCAACTTGATATTTTTTTAAGACGAATTTGAACTTTACTTTTGGATAAATTTAAATATCAATTTTGGTAAAAATGTTAATTAGACATTATTTTTAGTGTAGCATTTCTCAGTTCTCACACAGTCACACTTGCCTATATAGTAGAAAACGAGTGTATATATATAAAAAATGAGGTGGGCCGAACTTTTTTCCAAATAAAAATATATGAAAATATAAAATAATATGTAAATATCCACTCATTGTTGTTCGACCTACACTTAATTAGTAATTTTTTTCTTTCTCGTGTTAATTTACGTCATCTGAATGAGAGTATGTTGCACAATATTTTTAAAATTGGGAAAAATATGTAAAAAATAAATTGAAAGAGAAAAACATTAATGAAAATTATAAAATAAATATGCATAATTAATACATAAGAATATAAATTTAAAATAAAAAATAACAGTAATATATATGATTTTTTAAAAAGTATATATTTTTCTTAGATTTTTCATTTAGTTTAATTAATTATTCAACTAATTTGATTTGAGTTGAATAAAGTTACAAACACAACAAAATTTTCTCTATTGAAGGACTCCTACTTCAAACTATTAATTAAGCTATAAAGATGTATAAAAAAAAGCTAAAAAAAATTAAATGATGGTAGTTCAGTTGACGCCAGGGAACTGAGTACATAAGGTGAGAACATATGTTCGATCCTACTCAGTACCGTCTTTAGGAGAGACTTAAAGCCTTAATCTCGGGATCTTTCCCGAATTAAACTAGTCATAAATTGAAATATCTTAAAAAAAAATAATTAAGCTAGAATATGATGGTAAAAAAAGAAAGAAAGAAAGAAAATATTTACTCATACCGTCTTCGAAGCTGCATCCCATGTTTGTTAATTGTTACAATAGAATTCAAATTTTATACGTTTCACTTTCAATTATAAAATGTTATCTCAATAAAATAGATATATATTTTTTATTTAAAATGACGGCACTTTCTTTTTGTAATTATTAGTTTTCTTACTCATATGTTAACTTTTAATTAAAGGGTTAGGAATACGACAAAGGAGAGGTGATTTCATTCATGTTATAATGACCCGTTTGACCTTCCAGTTCATCCATTTTAATTTAATTATTATCCACCTTCGTAAACCCATTGCTCGGTTCTGTCCGGAAAATGCAAAGAAGCAGGACATGATTTTTCTGCCTCGTTGAAATTAAGGAGGTTACTTCGTGACAAAGGAAGTCAAGTCTCAGGACCATAATAAGTCGGTCTCTCAGGCAATTTCCTTGTATTCACATTACGCTTCCAAGTTCAAACTTCCTCTTTTTGATTTTTGAAGTTGCATCTAATTTGGAGTTGGGATCATCAATTTCTTTTTCTATATAAATAATTAAAAATGCCACGACCCAACAGCTAGGTTCTCTTAGTTATTGTGAAGTGTGCAACTTCAATCTGTCGCACAGTGCAATTACAAAGCACCCCATGGAATCCGGGGTTGTTTCCAAGTCCTCCAGATGGTTATTCTCAAATAAGAACTTGTTCAAGTTAAGCTTTCCGTGCTTAACTCGTTCCACACCCAAATCATTACCAGCTATGGAAATTGGCACTACTACTACACCTCCCCTGATTAGGCATTCCAACGTGCACAGCGCAAAAGTCGACGATGACAAGCTCAAAGATGTTTTTGATCACTTGGATGTTGACAGAGATGGTAAAATTTCAAGCAAGGAGCTAATGGATTACTTTGCATCCGTAGGGGAATCCGTGAACCATAAAGTGGCTAAGAGTGTGATCAATGAGTTTGACTCTGATGGTGATGAGTTGCTTGATTTCGGGGACTTCGTCAGACTCATGAAGCAAGAAGACAATGGTGAGTTGGAGGATATTCTAAGAAGTGCATTTGAGATGTTTGAGGTTGAGAAAGGCTGTGGGTGCATAACGCCCAAAGGCTTGCAGCAGATGTTGCGTCAATTAGGAGATGTGAAATCTCACGACGAGTGTGCGGTCATGATTCGAGCCTTCGATCTTGATGGCAACGGATTCCTTGATTTTCATGAATTTCAGCTGATGATGTCCTCAGCTAATTAGGTTTTCCCCTCTCATGAACTTCACTTTAATGAGAGAAACCGAACACCCTTTTTCTTCTTCTTCTTTTTCTTTGACGTAAGACACACGGTTTATTATTGTGAAGACTGAGGTTGGGGCACCAGTTGTCTGTCATTTTTTAGCCATAGTTTTAGCTTGTCGTTTTTTTGTGTCACGAGTTCGCTTCCGTCTTCCGAAAGATATTAAGACTTGTTTGCTATTCAAGACAAGAGTAACAAATCATATGTGTATTTGATAAATTTATAACTTATTTCGTGTTTATTGTGAATTACATAAGTATATTAAAATAATGATGTAACATTAAATATAAATAAATAAAAATATTATATTAATATATATATATATATATTTAAAAAAATTATTTTTAAACTGTTTTATTTTATTTTACCTTATTTATATATTAGCTTATATTTTAAATTATTAAAATTATTTTAAAACTCATAATTTTATATAAAATATATCAAATTATTTAAAATAATCTACAAAACATTTTAAAATAAAATTTACAGAAATATTTAAAAATATATTCTAAATTGTTCGTCAACTAATGGTGGTTCATGATGGATGGTGACAACATGTGTGTTGTGATTAGGGGTGTTAACGAGCCGAGCTGAGTCGAGCTTTAGTCTTAAGGTGTGCATGACAACCTTCTCAGAATCAATTCTTTTTTAATTTATGTTTCCGAGAATAGAAATGGATAGGAAACTCATTTGGTAAAATCAGTTTATTTTTTTATTCCTGGGATGAACCAGTTTAATTTTTGTGCTGGGGAACAGAAAAAAGAATCATAAAATTTCTGTTTTTTTGTTCTCGGGAACAAAATGAGACACACTTATCTCTCTCAATCACTCTCCACCTCTATCATCATCACCACCACCACCACCATCATCCCGACACGACTGCCGCCACCATCGTCGCCGTCGTCATCGTACCACTAGTGTCGTCGTCACCACCCTTCACCACCACGATGCCACCGCCACCATTAACACCACCTCCACCCATCACTACCATATGCCATCGTCACCACCACACAACTATCACCGCTGCCACCACCACCACCACCATTATCACCATCACCGTCACCACCACCATCACCACTATTGCCATCAACCACCACCACCATCATCGCAATCACTACCGCCAATATCGCAATCACACGCTACTGCCACCATCCTTATCGCCACCACTACCATCACAACCAATGTCACAAACCACCACTACCATTGCCGCAACCACTATCGTCACCATCACCGTCGCCGCCGCACCAACCACCACCATCATCGTCACAGCCATTACCGTCACCACCACCACCATCGCCATCGCCACCATTACACCACCCCTGTTACTACCATCACCACGCCATCGCCACCATCACCGCCACCACTGTCACCTACCACCACCGCCGCAGCCACTGTCACTGCCACCACCACCACCATGATGCCTTCACAACCACCACAACCATGTCACTGCTACCATTGTTGTCGCCACCAACCACCATACCACCACCATTGTCGCAGTCACTGCCATCACCTCCACCACCACAATCCCCACCACTACTGTCGCCACCATTACCACCGCCATCGTCGCAGCCACTGCCGTCATAATCACCACCACTATCTTCACCACGTCATTGCCACCACCACTACCGTACCGTCGCCACCACCACCACCATGCCACCCGCCGCCGCCACCACCACCATAACCACACCATATGGAAAGGAAAGTGATGATCCGAAATTTTTTTATATCTAATAGAAATTATTTTTTATTATATTATTTGTTGTACTGTCAAACACAATTCTCATTCTCGGAATAAAAATAAAACATGTTATCAAACACATTTTTTTTCTCAGATACTGTTCCAAGGCATAGAAATAGAAAAGAATTAATTCTTTTCAGAAACAGTATTAGGGAATAGAATGGTTGTCATGCACACCCTTAAAATGTTAAGTCTGTGTTTAAATGTGTCAGCCTGATCAAGTCTGTTACCTGTTATGAATATAATTATCGGCTGTGGCCTGACTTATTTACAAAAAATAAAAGTCTGGTTCCACCTGTTTAAGAAAAAATAAGACAACAAAAATTTATACAAACAGAATATACAATCAACAACACTAGTAATTTCATAAATATTCATAAATTCAATGTATATCCAAACAACATAATATAGAACAAAATTATTTAAAAAGTCTGTTTAACTAATAAAATGGGTTGAAATGGATTGAGGAGAGGGAGGACTATTATAAGTAGTATAAAAATATAAAATAAAAATTAATGTACTAGGCCAGCCTGAGAGGCTTTAAGGTCAAACTTTTGAATTGAAGCCTGAGGCCTTTTTATTAAACGAGCTTTTATAAAAGTTCAAACAAGGTTCTAACAACCAATTTTAGACATGTAAGCTCAGGTCTTCACGAGCCGAGCCAAATGCCCCTATTTTATTTACCACCCTTAGTTGTGATGGTGGCAATGGCATTGGCCGAAGATGGTTGATAATCACATGAGTCAATGAATTATTTGTATTTAAGAGCTCTAATTCATTTAATTATATGATTAGTTGGATTTGAGATCAATAATTAAACTAAAAATATAATATATATATGGGGAATGATCCGTTTATAAATTTTTTTAATTTTTTTTTTACAAATTACACTATGTTCTCCCGGGAGAACATAATGTAGTTTGTAAACAAAAAAGTTTGTAAATATAACTTGCCCCTATATATATATGGGGAAGGATCAGTTTACAAATTTTTTTTGAAATTTTTTACAAATTACACCATGTTCTCCCGGGAGAACATAGTATAATAAGTGTTCTCCCGGGAGAAGATAATGTAGTTTGTAAGAGTTTGTAAACAAAAAAGTTTGTAAATATAATCTGCCTATATATATATATATATATATATATATATATATATATATATATATATATGAAAAAAGTGTTTTTTTCCTATGATCCAATAATCTAAAATGATAGGAGATCAAAAATTAGGCTTTTATATTGTAGGAAATAAAATTATCTCCTTACACACACAAAAATATATATAGAACCCATGTGGAGCCATGCAATCAGGAAGAGAAAGAGAGAAAAATTAGGTTTCACACACTTTTATGTGTGGTAGAGATAATTTTATCTTCTACAATATGAGAGACATTATATATATATATATATATATATATATATATATATATATAAAGAGAGTGAGATATGATCTTTTGACACCGGTATCAAACTTTAAAATTTGACACCAAATTCTAACCGTTGATTTTCGTCGATCAACGATTATGATTTCCACCAATCAAACTCATTAATTAATTATTAATTATCAATAGATAATAATTGTTGAATGATGGAAATCAAAGGTTAGGATTTGGTGTCAGATTTTAAAATTTGAGATCGGTGTCAAAGGATCATATATATATATATATATATATATATATATATATATATATATTGCAAAATCATTTCTACAGCCGCTGCACATATAGCAAGCCGAGATACGGACCCGGATCCTAGGATACAGTTCCGTATCCATTTTTTTTAGAAAACAGTGGGGCCTATTTTTGTGTGTCAGCTGCAGATAGCAGCTCTCTGTAGCCGTTGTAGAAAAAGTGTTCCATATATATATATGTATATATATAGGTTTAATGTCTCATGTTGTAGCAGATAAAATTATTTTTTACACACACGTAAAAGTGTGTGAGACCCATATTTTCTTTTTCTTCTTTTCACATGGCCCCACATGGGCCTCACACACTTTTATGTGTGTATATGAAATAACTTTATCTTATATAAAATGAGAGACATCAAACCTATATATATATATATAAGATTAATATTTTTCCTGCAAGATGGAGATTAATTTATTTCCTACACTCACATGAAAGTGGGTGAGACCCATTTTTTCCTTCTCTCTACTCTCCTCACATGGCCCCACATATTTTCATATTTGTTCATGATATAAAATTATCTCAATCTTGCAGGAGAAACATTATTCCATATATATGGGTTTAAAGTTTATCATATTGTAGGAAATAAATTTATCTCTTATACATACAAAAAATGTGTGAGATTTATGCGAAGAAGAAACAAAAATAAAAAAATTAGGTCTCGTACACTTGTATATGTGTGTACTAGATAAGTTTATCTTTTATCACATGGCAACTTTAAAAACATACACACACATATAGAGGGAGATGATATTTTTATTACCAAAAAAATCCTCTACCAACTCATTACTTATATAATTATTATTGAATCAAAGAGAAAGAATGTTGAAAGGTTTTTGAGGAGAGAGAACATATTGATCCAATGATAATTAGATAGACAGTAGATTGATAGCAAACTTTTTTGGTAGTAAGAATATCCCCGTATACAATTTCTCTGGATTTTTTCTTCTTGCTTTACGAGTTTTGATTCATCTAGGCTTTTATTTATTTAAAATAGAAACCTTAAAAAGCTACTTGTAAGTTTCAAATATGATAAATGAAAAACAATTATATACTTTTAAATTCATCTTTGTCATTAGAGACAGTCCAGCTAAACTATTTTAGTAAACGTATCGGTCGGATGGCTCTGTGCAGATGGCATCTGCGGAATTTGATTATGTATTCCTTTTATATTTAAAATTTTAAATTGTATAATCCTGATTGGACTTAGTCAAGTTAAACTCTTTTAAAAATATTGGTTGGATGACTCTCGGATGGCATATGCGGATTTAGCTCATATATTCCTTTTATATTTGAAATTCTATAATCAGTATCTGTACTTTTTTTTTTTTTTTTAGCAAACTCAAAGGTATCCTCACCCCGTTGGAGGCGAGACTAATTCTTTTTCGAGCATCGATCGTACTCTTTCAGAGATGACTCTACTCAATCTGTTTTTTTCATACTCAAGGCTTGAACTCGAGATCACTGGATAAGAAAACACAGACTCCTTCTATCTATGCCAATGAATTTGGGTAGTTTCTGTACTTTATTCTGTCTTATTTTTAAACTATATTTTTCGTATTTATTTAAAATATTGAATATTTGGAATATTAAAAAATTAGGTGGTATAAAAATAACTATAGAATAATTTTAGACACGTATATTTATACATAAATTATCTTACATGTGCACAGTTTTTACCGTATGATTAGAATTGAACAAATGTACCTTATTTTCACCCACTTAAACTTTGAAATTTGAATGTGCTACCTATGTAAGTGGAACGATATTATAAAACGAAAATAAAATGATGTATATTTAACATTTTTCTTATCCCAGTCGGGTATCGAGAATTCAATATTCCACATCTGAAATAATTAAAAGCTTCGTAGTAATTAAGGCTACATAAAAATATCTCAAGATTAAAATATTTGCTCTTGTATAATAAAATATAATTTTGATTTTTGAAAGTGAGATAATATCTTATTATTATTTGTTTTTAGGTTTTTTCACCAATTCATAAATAACTCGATTTTTTTTTTAACTTTTGAATTAATTACATAAACATAATTGTTTATCAAACTTAATGCTCAGATTTCTTATTTATTGTTTATTATTTATCAATTTTTAATTTTTCATCGTTTTGAAATTTTAATTTTCTATTTTAAAAGGAGTGTCTTTTAAATTTTAAATGATTTTCATATTGCATCAAAAAAATTTAGTAAACAATTAATTCGTATATATAGTGTACATTTTTAAAGTGACTTAACTTTTAGCTTGAACTTTTTTAAGTGACATATTTTATTATTAAATTATCTTATTTTAAGTTTTAAATTCAAGTTATTTTAAATTAATTATATATTATCTCTATAATTTAAAATATTGTTTAATATTTATTTTAAAATATATTTTGATAATCTAAGGTTCTATTTAAATTAATCATTAATTAACTATATTTCTCTTATGATTATAAATATTTAATATTTAATTTAAATTTTTATTTAAATTTAAAAATATCTTCTAACTTGAAATTCAATTAATACTAACCCAAACTTTTGGTAGATATTATATTAATGTCAAAGGTTTGACCATTTATTCGATTGTCTTTTTATTTTCCTCCCATAATTGTCCACCTCGTAATATCATCCACACATCTTCACTAAAAAATAAAAACAAAAAACAAAAAATCCTCCGTCATTAGCCATGCATGGGAGATCTTAAATAAAGGTAAACTTTTTCTTATGTATAAACTGGGTTTGCGTTGTTTTTATATAACGTTAGGAGAGAAAGAAAGTTGAATTGAGCAAATGGAATTTAATTCAAGGTCAGCTATACGAATAACTTTAATTCATTAAAGAAAGTAAGCCTAATTTTTTATGTCAAACTTGATGAATTAAACCAAATCTTATGCGTCGATAATTTCTCCTTTAATTTTTTTTATATATTGTAATGAAAAGAACTGTGTTCCATTTAAAAAAATAATTTAAAATATTCAACATCAATCATGTGAATCAATTTGCAGAGATTGTTCCAGCTTTACCTGGGTTGAGGACTCGATAATGGATTTTTTATTAATTTTTTTTTAACGTACTCCAATTATTATTTCGTTTTTAATAAATATTTCAAAAATATTTATCTAAAAAAACAAAAAAAACTTAATTTGCTGATTTTTTTAAAATATTTTTTTTTTTATTAATTAACAAATACTATAGGACATTCATTCAAAAAGAAAAACCCTTGTTATTGCAAAACTCTGATGCGTTCATGTCTTCATGACGTTCATAAATTATTTGACCATTTCCACCTCTTGGCTGTAGGACCAAAAATGACGGAGTCCGAACCCAATCACAACAAAGCACACAGCATCGGCATGTTAATATTATATTTGACAAAGGCGCTTAATTTGCTGTAGTCAGGGAAATGCATCATTTGATGTTAAATAAAATATTATATGTTTATGTGAAGAAATCACAATCATATAAAAATAAATTAATGGTAATAATTTTATAATTATCAATTTTAATATTTTTTCTTTTTTTATTATATCTTTATATAATTATGATTCCTTTTATATGATTACATTATATTATATTTTATTTAACATTAGAGGAAGCAGTTATTAATCATTAGGTCTTATTCATTTGAACAAGGTAAAGCACGGTCTAGTTAATACGATAACTCAGGCTTAGGGTGCTAAACGAATCATAGACTTTTTAGGGGTCTTTGGCTCGGCTCGTGAAGGTCTGAGCTTATATGTCTAAAATTGATCATTGGCATTGGGACTTGAACTTGTATAAAAGCTCGTTTAATAAAAGGCCTTAGGCTCCAATTCAAAAGCTCGGCCTTAGAGCCTAGAGCCTCTCAAGCAGTCCTAATATATAAATTTTTATTTTTATTTTATACTTTTTATACTAGTTGTAATAGTCCTTCCTTTCTCCTCAATCCATTTCACCCCATTTTATTGGTTAAATAGAATTTTTGAATGATTTTGTTCTATATTATGCTGTTTGGATATATATTTAATTTATGAATATTTATGGGATTACTAGTGTTGTTGGTTGTATATTCTGTTTGGATAAATTTTTGTTTTCTTATTTTTTTTAAAAAGGCTAACAGACTAAACCAGACTTTTATTTTTCGTAAACAAGTCAGGCCGCAGGCCGATAATTATATTTATAACAGGTAACAGGCTTGGTCAGATACATTTAAACGCAAGCTTAGCCTTTAAAGACCAAAACTCAGCTCGGCTCGGCCCGTTAACACCCCTACTCAGCTGACTAAACCGGTTGAGAACAAAAATGCAACAATACCATCTTCTAGAACTGCACCACCATTCAAGTGGCCTAATTTTAATTTATATTTTGTGCATTAAAAAAAAAGCTTTATTTCTCTCATTTTACTGTAGAGAATAAATTCTCTGCAGCTGACTCATGCTATGAGTGAAGTCCATAAAATAGTGAAGAGATAAAAAAAATTTAAATAGAACCCATCAAATATTGTGTATGCCGAAATGGCAAACTTTATGCTGGAGAAAACAATCCCCCCTAAAAAAATATAGATTCTACTCTATCATGCTCATTCCTCCGAGTTTACATCCCCCATTAGTCCTGAAATTGGGCCAGGTCAATAAACCACAATTATGTCATCCACCTATAAAATATACTGAAGAACCAACGTACACGAAACTGTAGGAGCCAGGCATTTGCTTTCCTCTGCAATATAAAATCTATGATGAACTAGTCAGCCAAATTCGACGTTCGGAGTTTTTCCTCAGTTTTTAATCTTCCACACGTTAATACTTGTTCTGCTATAATTAATAGTAATACTAGTACGTCTCAAATATCTAACAATCATATACTAAAAGAAAGAGAGGGTTATATTGATAAAATATATATATATATATATATATATATTCTCCATAAATTTAAAAAAATTATATTATATAAGATTTCACTAAAGAATATCTTACCATTAAAATATAACGTAGTTTATAAACAAAAAAATTTGTAAACATAATTTTTCCGTATTAAAATACTCAAATATTTTTCCATCTAGCTAATACTGAATCCGAGATCATTTTTTCCATCACAGGCTCAGGAAAATAATCGCATTATGGATCGTGCTGTGTTTCTCCTCATTCTTTTCACACAAAGCTTTCTTCTATGTTCAATTGCCACGGCACAGCAGAATTACTCAGCAAATTCAATACTAAGTTGCAAGAACAATGACACAACGGGGCCTTCTCCAGCTTTCCTTTACACCTGCAATGGCCTCCACAAATCCTGCCAGGCCTTCCTCATCTTCAAATCCCAACCTCCTTACAACTCCACGACCACAATTTCCAACCTCACATCATCAAACCCAGAAGAGCTTGCCAGAATCAATAACGTCACTCTGCACACGGTGTTCCAAACTGGCAAAGAGGTAATTATCCCTGTCAACTGTTCCTGTCTAACGAGGGACTACTACCAAGCTGAAAGCGAATATGTATTGCCTCCGAATCCAACATATTTTTTAGTAGCAAATGATACGTATCAGGGGTTGTCCACTTGTGATTCTCTCATGCGTGCCAATCCATATGGGGTGCTTGATTTGCTTCCTGGCATGGAATTGCACGTGCCACTCAGATGTGCTTGTCCAACGGCGCAGCAATCAACGAACGGCACCAAGTATTTAATGACTTACTCAGTGAACTGGGGTGATAATATTTCTAATGTTGCCAAAAGATTCAATGTTACTGCAGGTAGTGTAGTTGATGCCAACAGTTTTTCCTCTGAAAATCAAGCTCTCTTTCCGTTCACAACTGTTCTGATTCCGTTTCCAAGTGAACCCAGGAGTTCATTGACCATAGTTGATAATCGTCAACCAACCACTTTACCTCCTCTTGTTTCCATTGCTGAAAAGGATAAGAGTAAGACCAAGAGAAAATTCATCGTTGCGGGAGCCACGACAGGGGGCTTCATGCTTGTTCTCTGTGTCATTTTATCTGCGGTGTTTTTGCTCAGAAATAGATCAGCGGGGTTCTTTAAGCGAGGTACAAAAGGTAAAACATTGACCCCTTCAGAAGGTATCCGTGGGGAGATAGCAAGCATTGAGCTTCTCTCCAAAGTGTACAGGTTTGAGGAAATAAAGGAAGCAACTGAGAATTTTAGTCCAAGGAATAGAATAAAGGGATCTGTGTATCGCGGGGTATTTGGTTATGGCAGGAACATCTTGGCTATCAAAAAAATAAATGCAGATGCGTCCAAGGAAGTGAATTTGCTGGGAAAGATCAATCATTTCAACCTGATAAAGCTGCAAGGTTACTGTAAAAATGATGGCTTCTTCTGTCTTGTTTTTGAATATATGGAAAATGGCTCCTTAAGGGAATGGCTTGGAAAAAGCAGGTCCACAGAGCACCAGTGCTGGGCAAAGAGGATCCAAATTGCTCTAGATATTGCCAATGGACTACAGTATCTTCACAACTTCACCGAGCCCTGCTATGTGCACAAGGACATTAGCACTGACAACATTCTACTAAACGGAGATCTAAGGGCCAAGATAGCGAAATTTACTCTTGCTGAAGAATCAAAGAGGGAAGTAACCTGCGGTTCTTCCACATTACATGTTGTGGGAACTAGGGGATATATGGCCCCAGAGTATCTGGAGGCAGGGATAGTCACTTCCAAAATGGATATCTATGCCTTTGGAGTGGTGCTCTTGGAATTGATCACAGGCAAAGACTCTATTATAGTGCAAGATGGAAGAGAAGTAATGCTTTCAGCAGTCATTACAAATCTCATTGATGAAGATGATGCAGAAGCGAAACTCAGTTTGTTCATTGATCCACGCCTCACTGGAAACAGCGGGAATGTATTTGCTCTTCAGCTAGTTAGGCTAAGTCTAGCATGCCTGATAGAAGAACCTGCAAGGAGACCAAACATGGCTGAGGTAGTCTCTAGCTTATTGAAAATACATACAGAGATGGACAGAAGAATATCATCTGGCACCAATAGCAGTATACGCCCGGAGAGGTGAAAATGACAGAGAGCTTTAGCCAAATAGAAATGTAAGTATTCATCAGAAATGTAAACTTCTATTATTTCAGCAATTAATTAGCTGCATAATATGGCCAATAATACTCATTTATGCACAAACTAACTTGCTAAACTAGGAAGCAAATGCCAGATGCAACTTCCAAAAGGGAACAATTGCATAACTCTAAAGCATGGCCTCTTCTGGCTAGACACAACCTGCACTAAGTCCATCTTGACATTTACTTTTTCTCTGTCCTGAATCTAATGTTCCTCGTCTTAACCTAATCTCTTTCTGTTTACATCCTTTTGCCTAATAGCTTAACTTTTTGGGATAGTTGGTTCATAACAATAACATAATGAGAACCTCCTTCACTAAGGAGTCAGGTGTCAATCCTTGTCAGCCCCATTTCTTATATACAAAAATTGAATTTCAGAAAACGGAAAACTCCCCGTCAAAATTCATCTCCATAAGCAGGGGACAAGTTTGATTCAATCTGGTGCTTAAAGAACTCCCAACCGTCCTCTCAAAATGTGATATTTTACCTTTCCTAGATGCATTGGATGCAGATGATAATGAGCTGAAACAAGGTTGCTGTTCTGATGCAGAAGAGAGCTAAGCCTCGAACCACATATGAGCCACAACCTGAGACATACCTTCTTCAACATCTTGATTTAGGGTCTGATAACCTTCATATATAAAGTATGTACGTACCATTGTAATCAGTGTATCGAAAGACAATCCGAAAGAGTTGATCGATCTACTTCCACACTTCGGACCATTTGAATTTGAAGGACTCAACCTCTCAACAGCCAAGAAAACTCGCTCCGCCACTGGAATCGGGTACCATAACTCGTCCTCCATTAGCTTCTTCTTTTCGGCGAGTCAACCGAGTCTACTCTGAGTTTAGAAACGGAACTAGCGTTTTGTTATTTGTCTTGTTGAATTTAATTTTGTTTTTTAGTTTATCAAAAATACTTTTGTCTTGTTGGATATTATAAAAATTCAAAATTAATTTTAAAAATAATAATATTTAAATATAATAAAATTAAAAAATTTTAAAAAAATGAATTCATTTACAAAAGGGTAAAAGATTTTTTAGTCAACGAGATAAATTATCTTCGGTGAGTCCAAAATAACATTGTTTTGAGACAAAAATCAAGATGTTTTTGTAATTATAATATATTGCAGGATTATATTAGTCTTTATCTTTATAATTTTTTAATCTTATAACCCAAAATGATGTCGTTTTGAGGAGATGATTTTATCTTCGGTAATTGAATAAATACTTTTCCCTTTATAAAATTACAGAATTATAAAAATAATTTTTTGAAACATCTAAAATACTACTCAAACAAGTTTTTTTTATTGTTTTAAATTAAAAACTATTTTTAGAAATAAAAATCAAATGTTTTTATGTTTGTTCGCACAAATTCCTAACGTTGACAGAGTAAGTAATCTGTTTTTTGGATTACGGCTTAAAAATCCATCACAGTGGGCTGAACAATAAGGCAAACACAGGGTTTTGGAATGGTCCATCAGCTTTTACCCATTTTCCTGCATAGCCTCTTCAACTGCGCCACCTTTGCGCAAGCCTATGCCTTGTCGCAAAGCCATGCAACTTACTATCTGCCTGTGCAATTCCCTGACTGATAATGCAAGACAAGATCAATATCAAATCGAAGCCGTGTTAGGGTATCATCAAAACCCAAGATATAAATTTTGAGACGGAAACCTCCGTGAGAAATGTTGAAGGAGCCTTTTTTCTTACATAATAATAAAATTATTTGTGTCTCTTTCTAACAGTTTAAATTTTTTGAAAAATTGGTTATGTGATCATAGTATTAGAATTTATGATTAAATGATTTAAAACTCGATTATTACTGCTCTCATTTATCAAATAAAAAATTAAAATTAAATATAAAATAATAAAAAACAAAAAATGAGCATGGGTATTATCATCAAAAAAATTGTCTCTCACAGGAGGAAGCATGTTGATAAATATAATAAAATCATATACGTTCTTTTTTTAAAGGCTTAAATTTTTGGGAGAAGTGATTGTGTGACATAATATCAGAATTAGAAAATAGCCTTGTTATCCACACTTCCAACCTAGAAAAAAGGTCTCATGGGAGCGTATTAAAATATTTGATGAAATTATTCAGATTTCTAGTCCTAACAACTTAAATTTTTAGAAGAGTTAGTAATTTGAAATTATCCTTTATTATGTTAATATATATGAATTTTGCACGAGGATGTGAACTTACTCGAACTTTGAGGTAGAAATTTGCACGAGGATGCGACCATCCTAATGGAGAGGGTTTCAGTGGTTTGTCTTCATTAGCAGCAGGAAGGTGTCCATTGGGGGAAAAAACTTTAATACTACCTTCATTTTTTTAAATGTGAAAAATTTTCTTTCATTTTTTTTAAAAACAATTTCCGCAAATATTTTCATATTTAGAAAAAGGTGTACTTGGTAGCACTAGGAGTTGTCAAGAATAAGAATGTGATCTTACTCGAATTTATGGAAGAGAAATTATAGGCAGATCCAAGGGGAGATCATGACAGGAGATCACCGCCAACAGCTAAGGTTACACTCAAATATTTTTTTAATATATTATTTACATGCAGTATTTATCCCTAAATATTTTTTTTTATTGTTCTATATTATCACTCGTAAAAATTATAGGTACCATTTTCTAATAAGTTCAACCTCAATTTAATAATTCTCTCGATTAGGAATGTGAATAGTCAAATCAATATATATTTCAGTTTCAGTTTAAATAGATTAAATTTACATAAAATATTTTTAACTTGAGCTGAGTTATTAAATTTGATACAAGTCAAATTTATTTTATATTTAAAATATAAAGGGTCTGGCATGATATATTGATCTATTTAATTATTTAATCTATGGAGTCTTCTAACTTTATTAACAAAAATTAAAAATTAAAAAATAATTGAAATAATATTATTTTATTATTCATAATTATTTAATAATTATTTTAAGTTATTTTAAATAAAATAGAATTATATGTCAGCCTTTTAAAATACGCGATGCTACTTGCCAATGTGTCTAAACTCATTCTTCATTTCATAAGCCGTCCGAATCAAACAGTGAATATCGATTTTCTACTCCCGCCTCACCTTCTATGTGTCATATCCGGTATATGTTATCTTATTCATCAAAGTTTTTCTGAGTTGTTTACGCAAGACCGTGTTGTATGTAATCTGTTAGCGTTTCCATTTGGAAGAAATATGTGGGATGATTGATTTTTATGCCAGTGGGAAAGTTTATATATTTAGGGTGTGCATCACAACCATTTTATTTCCTAGCACTATTTTTCAAAAGAAATAATTTTTTTCTATTTCTATGTCTTGAAATAGTTTCTAAGAAAAAAAAATATGTTTGATAACATGTTCTATTTTCATTCCGAGAATGAGAATTGTGTTTGATGACACAACAAATAATATAATAAAAAATAATTCCTATTAAATATAAAAAAATTTCAGATCATTGCTTTCCTTTTCATATGGTGTGGTTGTGGTGGTGGTGGCGGCAGGTGGCATGGCGGCGGTGGCGGCGGTGACGTAGTGAAGATAGTGGTGGTGGTTGTGACGGCAGTGGCTGCGACGATGACAGTGATAATGGTAGTTGCGGCGGTAGTGGTGAGGATGGTGGTGGTGGAGGTGACGACAGTGGCTGCGACAATGGTGGTGGGTATGGTGGTTGATGGCGGAAACAATGGTAGCAGTGGCATGATGGTGGTGGCGACAGTGGCTGCGACGGTGGCGGTGGTGGTAGGTGACAGTGGTGGTGGTGGTGATGGTGGTAGTGGTGGCGATGACGTGGTGATGGTAATGGCGGGGGTGGTGTAATGGTGGCGATAGTGGTGGTAGAGACGGTAATGGTTGTTATGATGGTGGTGGTGGTTGGTGGCGGCAGCGGCAACGACGACGACGACGACGGCAGTGGTGGTGACGATAGTAGCTGCAGCAGTTGGTAGTGGTGGTTGGTGACAGTGGTGGTGGTGGTGGTAGTAGTGGCGATGGGGGTGGTGGCAGTTGCGTGTGATGGCGATGGTGGCGGTGACGGCAGTAGTTGCGATGATAGTAGTGGTGATGGTGGTAGTGACGGTGATAATGGTGGTGGTGACGGTGGCATGGTGGTAGTAATGGGTGGTAATGGTGGCAGTCACATTGTGGTAGAGAGGGGTGGTGACGACGGCACTAGTAGTACGATGACGGCGGTGACGATGGTGGCCGGCGACAGTCGTGTCGGGATAATGGTGGTGGTGGTGGTGATGGTAGAGGTGGAGAGTGATTGAGAGAGATAAGTGTTTCTCATTTTGTGCCCGGAACAAAAAAACACAAATTTTCTGATTCTTTTTTTTTGTTCTCCAGTACAAAAATTAAACCGGTTCGTCTGAGGAACAAAAAAATAAACTGATTTTACCAAACGAGTTTCCCATCAACTTCTGTTCCCAGAAACATAAATTAAAAAAGAATTGATTCCGAAAAGTTTGTCATGCACACCCTTATTTATTGAGAATTGTTTTTCTTATGTCACGCAAGATAAAATTTCATTCCTATTTACGTATAAAGAGACAAGATCTATTAATATTTTTTATCTCTCCTATATTCTCTTTTCTCTCTCCTTTATATATATGTGTGGGAGAAAGATTTTATCTTACATCACGTATAAAAAAATAATTCCCCTTATTTAATTATATGTTGGAGACTTCAAGTTGTATGTAATCTGTTAGCGTTTCCATTTGGAAGAAATATTTACTTTTCAACTTTTTGAACTAGTGTATTTTTGTTTTGTCCTTTTCTTTTGGGGACCGATCTTCTCTAATTTTTCTCTTGATCTTGTTTAGATTACCGGAAACGTGAACTTGTTTGTAGGGAAAAAAATAGGAAATTATTTTTTTTTAACTTAACTATTCATTGTTAAAGATATATTACTGATTAATTTTGGAAATTTTGATCAAAGAAATTAAGAAATGGATCATCTTATCGTGTGTTATTCAACATAAGCATGACATGACATGAAGGAGAATTTTTTTGGAGTTACCAAACCCTAATTATCTCTTTGAGACGAGTTGGCTCCTCCCGGTATTCCCACGAGCTTCGACTCTTTGAGCCGTCTATGGGACTAATCCAGAGTGCGGAGGAATAGTGAAGGAAAATTTTAATTATATAAGAGTAAATCAATGCTAATAATTATATAACTACCTATTTTCATATTTTTTTTCCTCTTCTTTTATTATCAATAATTCATATTATGATTCTCTCACATCACATAAGACATGAGAGGATTCACTCCTAAGATAATATCACTATCGAATTTTTAGGGAGGTCTGGGTTATCATTGAATTCAATGAAAAGTGAAAGACAAAATTGTAACATTATCAGATCAGATGAAATGTGGATAAAAAAGATGGATTATTTTTTCGTCGCTATGTAGATAACTTTTTTTTGTAACAGATACAGGAAAAGTGGGATTAATTCATTTTATTTTTTTTGAAAAAAAAGCCAAAATTCGTAAATATATCCTCATTTTTTATGTGTTGTTGACAGAGCTAAGATAGAGTTTATTTGGGATGGGTAAATTCATAACTGAACCTGGTTCGGGGGAATTTGCTTAGGCATTGGACCGCGAAGGCTCGTAACAAACAATTCGTTCGTGGCGCTAAAAAGTGAAGCGACACGAGTCACGACGCACGCAAAGAGAAAGGTCCAACCGCAAACCGTTTTTGACAATTTTTACTGCTAAAAATAATAGGCACAGTTCCTCTCTGTCCTTGTGTGCATGTGTATGTGTGTGTAAAACATCTCTCTTCTGCGAAAGTTTTCATCGTCTCTTGATTCGAGATCAGAGAGAAGAGAATGGCGAAATCAAGCGCTGACGATGCTGAGCTCCGGCGAGCTTGCGAGGCTGCCATTGAGGGAACCAAACAGAAGATCGTCCTGTCCATCCGAGTTGTCAAGACACACGGCACTTGGGGAAAATCTGCCAAGCTTGGTCGTCAAATGGCTAAGCCTAGGGTTCTCGCTCTCTCCAGTACGCAGCATTTCTCTCACACTCCCTCCTTTTTCTCTCTGCTTTCATTCTTATTCAACATTTAGCGAACTTTTGTTATGGTAATGCTCCAATACATACAGCACTGGAATCAGTGTTCAGAAAAGCTTGTTTGCACTTCTAGAACCTTACCTAACAATGATGTGAATCTTTATGTATTTTGCCAAGCAGAGATATATGTAGGAGCGAAATTTGAACGAGTGGTTGAAATATTTGAAATGTAGCATTTATGCTTTCCATGTGTGTCTTGTGGGCCGCACATTATAGGAACAAGTGCATGAGTGGTGGTTGTCTCGTTGATGTAATATTAACTAGATACTTTATGAGAAGTATAATATATTAATATTCATTTGGTTATGAGGGTGTCTTGTTGGCTTTGGTATTGTTTTGTGAGGCTATAAGGGTCTACTTTGTTTCTTAAGGATTTAACATGTAGCGTTTATGCATTTTTTTTTACTTCTAAGGGTTTTGAAACCAGCTAATTAGGTGGTTTTGGTTTCATGTTAGTAGCGGGGATGTAATTGGAAACTATGTTTCTCTTATTTTAACAAGTTATTGCAGGTTTTTCCCTTTTATATAGTAGAATAAATGGGAGGATTTAGCATTTTTTAGACATTAGCTTATAGTGTATCCATAACTGGTTCATATAATGGTAGGATTTACTTGGCAGAACAAAATAGGAATACAAAAGGATGAGAAAGGACTCATTTCTGGGTAGGTAATTATGTGGTCACTTCATTGTGTGTTACTGCTGTAATGATTTGTTAAATTCTTTATTTGTAGCACTGTTGGTGACGACATGCTATTTTGTGCAGCAAAAGCAAAGGCTCAGCGGACAAAAGCTTTTCTTCGAGTTTTAAAGTATTCATCGGGAGGAGTTATTGAGGTAATTTCTTTGGGATATACTTGTTTTTGTAGCTACTTTCAGCTCATGGTTCCCCGGTTCCCAATCAACTACACAAACGAACCTGAGAAGCTGCTTTTCTTTTTTTTAATCTTGCTTGTGTGTTGCTTTTGTTGGTTTTTGCTTGTTTTAGGAGTTTTCCTTGTTTTTGTAGCTACTTTCAGCTCATGGTTCCCCGGTCCCCAATCAACTACACTAAGTATCTTGCTTGTGTATTGCTTTTTGCTTTTTTTAGGAGTTTTCCTGATAGTCCTGTTCCATATTTCCTTTCCTTTTCATGAAAGTTTTCTTTTGCCCTGCGAAAAAAAGCTTTCTCCCTCCACGGTAGGCCAAGAAAGGAAAAAGTCCTGCATGTAGCTGATGTAATATGTTTTTGTCAAAAATTACATTTTTTATGACTCAACTGAATTGATACTTACACCATCTTTGTTGCCTCTTTCTTTTATTTTATTTTTAATATATACAACTTATCCTTGTCTAAAAGCTTGGTTGATGCTTCACAGTATATTTAGCATAGTCCTTTTTCCCCCACTTGAACTTGTCTTGTTTGGAGGTTTTACAATATTTTGTCTATAAAATTTTTTGTGCTTGCAGCCTGCTAAGATATACAAGCTGAAGCACCTTTCAAAATTGGAAGTTGTAACAAATGATCCCAGTGGATGTACGTTTACACTGGTAATATTCCATTCTTTCCTACTGCCACAGAGATCTTTATGTTCTGATGATAATGTTCTCAGTTTCTGGAACAGAAGCAAATCAGGATGCAGCCATTTCCTTTTATGAAATTTGTTTTTAAATATTATATATGTGTATGTATGTTTGTATGTATGTATGTATGTATATATAGCTGATGAGTGTCTGTCTTATAGGGATTTGATAACCTTAGAAGCCAGAGTGTGGCTCCTCCACAGTGGACAATGCGCAATATTGATGACAGGTTATATACCATTGACGGAAATGTATAATCTAAGTATGCAGACTTTAATCGTTTATGGTTGTATTTCTGGAGAGTGGAGTTTTGCTCATTTTGTCTTTTACTTTTTTTGTAGGAATCGGCTCCTGCTTTGCATCTTAAATATCTGCAAAGATGTTCTGGGTCGCCTTCCTAAGGTTGTTGGTATGGATGTTGTGGAGATGGCTCTTTGGGCTAAGGTGCATATTCTTCTAATCACTTAAACTTGAAGTTGCTTTACAATCAAGCTGCAGTCATTGTTTTGAATAGATTTTTTTTTTTAATAAATAATTACTATAATTAATTTGGATGGAATGTGACTTATCTCATTAGTGACCTTGAAGCTCTTGATTTCAAGTTGAGGATGTTAAACTCTAATAAATAATTACTTGGTGACTAATTGATCTTAATAATTATAGACTGTTGGTTTTCTCTGTTAATTTATTTTCACCAATGTAAATAGGAAAATACAACCTCAGTTTCCACTCAAAATAATCTACAAGACGGTGCTCCTGTTGAATCTGCTGAAACCGAAACAAAATTGAAAGTCAATGTCGAAAAGGAACTTGTCTCCCAGGCAGAGGAAGAGGACATGGAGGCTCTTTTGGGAACGTAGGTGCTATCATTCTCTATCTTAAATTGTGATCCGAGGTTAAATATTTTTGATGAGTAAGAATATAATTAAAGGAATTTATTCTGTCTGCAACTGGTTTATTGCAATGTCACAGAAAGCCTCTTTCTCTTCCTTTATAAAATTTCTGGTCATATTTTATGATTGATATAGATACAAGGAATTCTTTGCAATTATGCAAAGGTAAGGCTGCGTACAAGGATTTCCTTCACCCCACACTCGTTAGTCGGGTTTAACGGGGAGTGGTTTATAGATACAAAGAATTCATAAATTAGTAGCTAATAATGAGGGTTGGCTTAGTTGGTGAACTAAGCTCCGTGGGAGTGGACTTTACCTGGAAGGTGTTCAAAAACCCCTAAAAGCACCTTGTGGCTAGAACTAAGCCAATGCCCCAGTGGTGATTAGTGTCAATGTCATACCCAATGGGTGTGAAGTACTGAACATGATGCTTGTTACATGTAAATAAAGTTCAAATGAAAATAGTTATGTACTCGTGTTGATTGTTGCATAGATAATTCAGTTATTTTTCTATGAACAAAATACTTTTGTTTATCATAACTTCTTTTACAATACCAATGTGCAGAATTAAATTGTTGTAGTTTTTTGAATGTGCAGTTATTTCATGGGTATTGGTGAAGCAGAGGCATTTTCTGAAAGGTTGAAAAGAGAGCTTCAGGCTCTGGAAGCAGCAAACGTGCATGCCATTTTAGAAAGTGAACCTTTGATAGATGAGGTATAACTGTTCTTTGAGTTGATTACCTTTCTTTTGCTGGTATTACCTTATTGTTTATTTGTGTTATTGTAAACAGGCCCCTTAATTCATATATTCTATTGTAGCTTAATTTTCTGCCCTTGTGAATTTAGAATAATAGACTGAATAAATCATTTATGTTTTCTAAGCTATGATTATAATTATTTAAATACACCATGGATTCTTGAATTTTTTTTTGAGATAAACCAATTTGCTTGATTTTATCCCCTTCTTAATGCTTCAACCTTATGCTGATATTTTAAGCTCTAGTTTTATCTCGTTATCATCACTTCAACCATTAGAGCTGTTGTGATAACAACACTGTGATTAGGAAATGCTACTTCATTTTACAAATCTTCATGTTTTTAGTTATTTAAAATTATTTTAACATGTTTTTATGAAGTGGTTCATACGAATTTGTGCCTTGTAGGTGTTGCAAGGGCTTGAAGCAGCAACAAATTGTGTGGAAGACATGGATGAATGGTTAGGCATGTTCAATGTGAAACTCCGACACATGAGGGAAGATATCGAATCAGTAAGGACTTCTACACTTCAAGTTGGGAGCATAATTTGCCTATTCACAATTTACTTTGTGGTTGTTATTGCAATGTTTAATGGAATCCTTGTCCATTCATTTGATTTCTTAGTTCCTTGGCTAAAGCACCTTTTAGTCTGTTAGGTTGTTTTATTTTTTGTGGTCCAATCTATGTTCTTTTTTCTTGCTGTTATGTTGTTGTCACTAAAAGAGCATAGATAATGTTTACTCTTGTTTTATTTCTGTTTTTTTGTGTCTTTGTCAAGGAGGATATCTAATCCAACTCTCTTATTTTACACACACTTTTCTCAAAACTAAGAAAATAAAAAAGGTTTCTTTTTTATCTTGGTTCTGAGTTCTTGAAAACTGATATGAATTTAGACATGGATACTAACTTTGAAAGTTGGTTCATGATCACAATTATCTCTAAGAAGCCAACGCTTTGTGATGCTATTGAAGTTATTTTTTGCTGTGAATAGATTTTTAGTTTTGCTTCTCTAGGTTATATAGTTGATATGGTTTGGGACATATAATATTAAAAATTGATGATATCTTGAGAAGGAAAGAAGCCAAATTTTTGTGGTAATATGCAATCAATTCCACTCTGTGGAGTGCAATTCCTGCATCTTTCAGGATATTTTGTTGAGTGAGCATCTTCTTTGAGATAAGATTAGGTATTTGGCTTTTATTTAGTGTAAAACTCATGGTCTTTTTACAGCGATCTCTTACATGTATGTGGCTTTGCTTCTTTGGTATTTTCTTTGTTCTCTCTTGTTGAAATGAGAAAAATGTTTGTCTTTTTAAATGACACAACTTATGTCATTTAACTCTCACAAAGAGATAAGACCCACACTTTTTTTTTTTGTCTAATCTCTCTCCCCATGATTTATCTCTTTTTCTCACTTAAAATGACATAACATAACATCTGTTGAGATATATAAAACCATTAATGTAGCCTCACCCAACAGCTTAAGCTTTTGGATTGAATTGGTTCTTTACATGGTACTAGAGCCTCGGTGTACCGGGTTCGATCCTCACCGCCCCCCACTTTCTTTCTAGTGGAATTTCTTTCTTCGCACATGTAGGTGGGCCTGTGCATTGTCCACCCTTCAAGCCCAGTGGGCTCTCGTGTGAGGGGGTGTGTTGAGATATATAAAACTATTAATGTAGCCTCACCCAACAGCTTAAGCTTTTGGGTTGAATTGGTTCTTTACAACATCCTTTAAAATGACACACATTTTTTCTTTTTCCTGTTGAAATTATAAGGATTTGGGTGGAGAATAAGGAAAAGAGAAAATAAAGAATGAATAATCTGAAATTGATAGTGATTTGATACGTAGGATGTGTTTCAAAAGACAAAGTAATAACATTTATTTATACTAATAATAGACTCCTAATCCTAATTAAATATGGAATCAAGTCATGAAATATAAGGAAATATGGAAACCAATATTAAGAAATCATCTAAGACACAAAACTATTCTAAGATATAATTATGTTGTTATGAGATATCTTCTACATATTCTAACATCTCTTTTGTGAGGAGGATCTCGTATCCTTTTAATCCTTTATAATCATCTTCTCTCTGTCTTAATGAATTTCTTCTTTTTAATAAAAAAGAAATGGATCTCTTTTTATTTTGTCTCAATACTTTTGTGATGTCCAGATTGAAACCCGCAATAACAAGTTGGAAATGCAATCAGTAAATAACAAAACTCTCATTGAAGAGCTTGATAAGCTTCTTGAGCAATTGAGTATCCCTGCTGAGGTATGCCTTCATGTGGTGAATTCTTGTAGTTTGAGTTTGATGGACTTACTTATCTTGGTATTTATTTTAATGATGTTTCATTGGGTGTAGTATTCAGCATGCTTGACAGGAGAATCATTTGATGAAGCGCGGATGCTTCAAAATATAGAAGCATGTGAGTGGTTGACCGGTGCCTTGCGTGGTCTTGCAGTACCTAATGTAGATCCAACTTATGCAAATATGAGAGCCGTATGTTCTTTGCCTTACTTCTCAATTGTTCTAAACATCTGTTAAAGTAAGTTTTGATAATTTAGGAAACAAAACTGTTCATGGTAAAACATGCTTCTTTTCTTTTGTAAGAAACTTACATTAACATCAATGTTAACGTCGCCCTTATCCCAAATTAATTGAGGTCCGTGCTCAATGAACCCATATAAATACAAGAGAAGATTAAGAAAAAATAAATAATAAATTAAAAAGAATATATATTTATATAACTAAAAATAAATTAACTAAACAAAAGCATAATTTTTTTCAGAGAAAGAAAGAGAGAGAGAAAGGAGAAGAAGATAATGAAAATGTTAATAATGCAAATTTTACTCCTCCGTGATGTTTTTAGCTTTTCTTCACTTCATTCTAAGACAAACCGCAAGCCAATTTATTTCCCACTCTATTAAGTTTTGTTTACTACTTTCCCTGGAATAAGTTTTGGCCAACCTTTCCTTCTTTATGTCATACTCTCGGTAACAAAATTCTTGGTAAGAAAGTTAAATAAAGAAATTTGATTTAAGGTGACAATTATGATTTTTATTCATTAGTTGCTACCATATTAATTGGTCCTGAGAAGCTACTTATGTCAATCCTATGAATTTGGGGCCTCACTAAGCCAATAGAGTATTATTGCCTGCGGCTAATATGGCAAATATGTATAAGACCTAAAGTCATTTGTTTTAAATTTTTAATGGTGGTTTCTGCTACTCCAACAGGTTAAAGAGAAGCGAGGAGAACTTCAAATAATAAAATCTACTTTTGTCGGGAAAGCTTCTGAATACTTGAGAAGTTACTTTGCTAGTTTTGTGGATTTCATGATAAATGATAAAAATTACTTTTCTCAGGTATTTTCTGCATAAATTCTTTATAGAATTATTAACTTTTGAAGTCTTATAATTTTTCATTTTCACTTTGTTTGTTGCTCTAAATAGCGGGGACAGTTGAAAAGGCCAGATCATGCTGACCTGCGGTACAAGTGCAGGACATATGCACGTCTTCTGCAACATTTAAAGGTTCAATTTTGGATGAACTACAATTTCTGCTCAAAATTTTGTTTTGCATACATATATTTGTTGAGCTATTTTCATTGTTTTCTTGCCAAATTATCTTCCTTTAAACTTGCAGGTTCTTGATAAGAATTGCTTGGGCCCATTGAGAAAAGCTTACTGTAGTTCTCTAAACCTGCTTCTTCGCAGGGAGGTCTGAGATTACAAACTATTCACGCACCATATTGATGTTATTTTTTATTTCTTAGTATTTTGTGGTAAAATTCTTGCTATGACTTGCATTTAGCCTTTAATATATGAACTCAGAAGTGGCTATTATGCTTGTGGAAACTTATCATTGATGTGATTACTTGTATAGAATCAAGATTTAAAAAAAAAAAAGTTGCAAAATAAAATATTTTTAGAGCATGAGGGGTTATGAAATGTCCTGGTCAGAATAAAAATCCCAATTTAATTTCTCCTTCCTGACTATCTATCTTCTGAGGGATACAAAACAGATAGTTATACCTCATCTCAGGTTGGTTCAGGTAAAGAAGTTACCAAAGTTGTGCTAGTCATAATGTTCAAGTTTGTAGCTTATTAATGTTTTAAGATTTGGCTGACCATGCATAAGAGTTGCTGGGGGTCTTCGTGGATGTAATCATAGTGGAAATTAAGTTATCTAATTGGCTTTCAGCTAGAGTCTTGCTTGCTTGGCATCAGCCTTAAGCCTCTCTCTGCATGTAAATTTTTTACCTCTCCATCATTCTTTCCTATTAGAGAACTTTATGATTACATTCTTACCATGAATCAAAAGGAGCTGTGTGAGTTGAAGCTTATTTGCTTTGTGCTTGATGTCATACACTTGAAGGAATCAGGACTGTACAATGGAAACTGAAGTTTCAAATGTATATTTTTTATTCACTTTCCGTCAGAAAGAAACATTATTTTTCTTCTGATGTATATTGTCTGGAGCAAACTTTCAATTATTTTCTCAACAACTAATTTCTTTTTTTTGGGGTACATCTAACTACTATCTTTTAAAAAGAGGCATTGTAGAAAAAAAAAAATTCACCTCTATCATTGCTTAACTAGTTGGAGAGATGTAATGAGCCTAATTTTTACATATCCAGGAGTAATTTTGCATACAGTTGAATAGCAGGTCTTCTAACTTTGATGCTGCTTGATCTGATTTATAATTACTCTTTTGGTCTTTACTGAATTAGAGACCAATGACCTTATACTACAATTTTGTATTTGACAAGTAAGTTTTGTTATAGGTGTTCAGAGTTCTAGGTCATATATACTGTGTTGCTATGCTTCGGTTGAATAATGTGCATAGAGAGTCTAAAGTTTCACGAATCCCTTTACAGGCCCGTGAGTTCGCCAATGAACTTCGAGCTAGTACTAAAGCTCCTAAAAATCCAACTGTTTGGCTTGAAGGTTCCACAGGTTCTGGTCAGAATGTAAATTCTGCTGACACTTCTACAGTCTCTGATGCATATGCAAAGATGCTCACTATTTTTATCCCACTTCTGGTGGATGAGGTGAAAGTTCTTGATATTCACTCGTTCTCAAAACTTCTTGATCTTTAATATTTCAAATGTGTAACTATTTATGGCTTATGTTTCAGAGCTCTTTTTTTGCACACTTCTTGTGCTTTGAAGTTCCTACACTTGTTGATGGTAATAAAACTGGACACAATGATGATGCAAATGATGATGATTTGGGAATTATGGACATTGATGAGAATAACTGCAAATCTGGTACATGTACCTTGCTTTCAGCAAATATCCTTTCTGTACTTTGAAGTTTATATTTAATCTATTATGGTTTGATTTTATTCTGTTGAGATCATTTGTTCCGTAATTTGACCATTTCATCAACTTTGCAGGTAAAAATTCTGTGGAGCTTGCAGCTTTAAATGAATCACTTCAGGATTTGCTCGATGGAGTTCAAGTATGCATAGATTAAACTCTATATCTCTTTCAATGTGATTTTGAGCTTCTGATATTAGTCAGAGGAAAGGATCTAGATCCTCTCATGTTACATGATAGCCTTGTTGGAAAGAGACAGATTTTTTTCTTTTTTGCAAGGAAAATTTATTGGTCTTGTTCCTTATCTTTTTATCTCTCTAGATAACTGTTATATTGCGCAAGAAGATCCAAATTCAAGATAAATTGGTGCAGCCTTATGAGTTCTCCATTGCAGCACTGTATATTTTATCATATATAAGCTGAACCTAACATATTTAATGTTATTGTTTAGGAGTGATCTATATGTTGTTCCTTATAATTGGACACTTTGTTAAGAGTTTCCTGATCAGATGTTTTTGGTACATAATTTCGTAGATTTTACTGCTGTAAAGCTTCTGTATAATTTATATTATTTCAGGAAGACTTCTATGCTGTTGTGGATTGGGCATACAAGATTGATCCTTTACGCTGCATATCGATGCATGGAGTAACAGAAAAGTATCTCTCTGGTCAGAAAGCTGATGCAGCAGGATTTGTACGGCTTTTGCTTGGTGACCTGGAGTCTCGGATATCTATGCAATTCAGCCGTGTATGTGACTAGTTTTGTAAGAATACCATTTTGTCAAATGCATTTGGAAGAGATTGAGATGCTAACTCAATTCATCTAATTGACAATCTTTTTCAGTTTGTTGATGAAGCTTGCCATCAGATTGAAAAATATGAGCGCAATGTTCGCCAAATGGGTGTCCTACCCTACATTCCCAGGTGAAATAGATCCTTGGAGTCTACCATTTCACCCTTTCTCCAAAGAAGCTAGGATTTTTTATTTTTTTTGGAATGATAATACGTGTCCACCCTTTTGAGCCTGTTATACAGAGTTCAGAATATAGAAATACCTAGAATATTATCTGTACTAAATGTAGTGAAAGGCTCTTAACAACATCGTGTAACTTTATTACATATTGTTAAACTATGAATTGGCATCTCTGATACCCAGTTTTTTTTTTTTAACCACATTAAGTTCAGGTTAGGTACTTTGGGTTTGTTAGAGACAGATTTCTGAATTGCTTTAAGAAATCCTCAGCATGATTGATTATATATCCATGATTTACAATCTCTAATAGTAGGAAACTTGGAAAATAAGGAAACTGGTAAATTAGGAAAATAACACAAATTAAATTCTAATTATTTGCTGAGCATACTGCTCCTAAATAGGAGATATCTTTCCTAAACAGAGATACTTCCCAGCAGGGTTATCTAAATTACATGATTTTTCATATACGTCCATGAATAAAATAAGAAATCATTTGAACTTTAAGCAAATAAGTTGAAGATGAAAAGCTGCCAACCTATTCTATTTGTGTGTAGTGTCTTTTTAGGCAGAAATTAAAAGTTATAGCTGCAACGTTATTTGCTTTCCAAGGTGTATTTGATATCTCTAGTCTATCTTCAAGTAGTGAGTCACCTAAGATTCGAGGATGAAGAGGTGCTTAGGGGAGCATGGCTCAATGGCTAATCTGATAGTATTCGAGAGGAGTTGCTTATGCACCCCAAGAATAGGCTATAGGCTATCTGAAATGATGAAGTTGGCCACGAATATTGAACGTAGGAACCTAGTGTGGGTTGCTGAAGGAGTGGGACGAATGGGCTTAGGGCAAGGTATAGGAGTGTCCAAATAGGCCTAGACTAAAAGAAATGGAGCGGGTTATCTCTCGACCCGGTTGACGAATTCGATCAAGCTAATTTTAGTGGCCCAAAGCCTAATGTGGTTGATGCTTCTTCTATATCATCAGTTTCCCAATTAAACCTTAATAACCAAATTTCTTCAATCGGTAATTCTCGACCAATGGAAAGCCATGCCAGCAAAGGTGGTTGGAGTGCTAGTCGGTGTCTGTCCCAAGCTGACTTGCAGGAGAAATAGACGAAAATGAAGGCTAGGAAAATGATAGAGATGTGGGGGGACGAGGCAAATACAGCGGAGTGTCAGAATGAAGGTGAGGAGCTTTCCAACTATCCATGCACAGTCTTTTGGGGTTGTCCTCTAATCAGACTATGAAACTTTAGGGAAAGATCAAAGGCGAACTTGTGGTTACCTTGATTGATTGTGGAACATCCCACAACTTCGTAAGCAAGGACGTGGCAAGCAGATTGGGGTTAAAAGTCGATGATACACCACGATTTTGGGTGGAGGTTGGTGACAGACATCCAGTGGCGTGCCAACGTGTGTGCAAGGGAGTACCCATTGAGCTACAGGGCCATATAATCAGCCAAGACTTGCTTTTATTCGATTTGGGGGGTGCGAAAGTGGTTCTGGGGTTAGAATGGTTAGTAGGATTAAGGGAAATTAAAGCTAATATCAAAGAGATGACTGTAAGGTTTGAACAGGGGGGCAAGGAGGTGATATTTCGTGGTGACCCATCATTATCCAGAGTTGTGGCCTCAATGAAGTCAATTGAAAAAGCATTACATGATGGAGGAGCAGGTTTTCTTGTTGAACAAAGAACAAATCAATCGAAGGTGCTAACTGGAACATAGCCGGAGATGGATGAGTTGCTAGAAGAGTTCCAAGGCCTATTTCATGAACCAACCGGTCTACCCCTAAAGAGAGCTCAGGACTATGCAATTACCATTAAGCCAGGTAGTCAAATTACCAATAGCCGCTCTTACAGATACCCACTATACCAGAAAACTGAGATAAAAAAAGTAGTATCTAAACTGTTGAATAATGGAATGATTAGACATAATGTGAGTCCATATGCTAGCCCTGTATTTCTTATTAAAAAAAAGGATGGTAGTCGGCGTGTGTGTGTTGATTATAGGGCGCTGAATAAATGCACTATACCTAATAAATTCCCCATGCCTACGATTAAGGAACTTTTGGATGAATTGGGGAGGGGGTGTCTAAGGTATTTTCCAAATTGGACTTGAAGTCCAGATTTAATCAAATCAGAATGAAAGATGACATTCCAAAAACTGCATTTAAGACCCATGAGGGCCACTATGAGTATTTGGTGATGCCTTTCAGCCTCACCAATGCTCCATCAACATTCCAAGCCCTTATGAATGAGGTGTTAGCCATTCCTTAGAAAATTTGCTTTGGTGTGTTTTGATGACTTTTTGATATATAGTCAAAGTGAACATGAGCATGTATTACATCTCATGAAGGTGTTGGCAGCTCTTAGACAACATCAGTTGGTTATAAATAGAAAAAAATGTTGTTTTGGGCAGCGTCAAGTGGAATATTTAGGCCATATAATTTTGGGTAAGGAAGTTATGGCTGATCCCCAAAAGGTTGAGGCTATGGAAAACTGGCCCAAACCTCTAAATATCAAGGGATTTAGAGGTTTTTTGAGGCCCCACTAGTTATTATTGGAAATTCGTCAAGGATTATGGGAAGATTGCAAAGCCATTGACTGAGTTGTTAGAAAAGGATAATTTCAATTAGGGGCAAGAGACATTTGACAGGTTAAAAAAGGCAATGAGTTTAATGCCTGTGTTATCATTACCGAATTTTAACAAGCTATTCACTGTTGTCACGGATGCCTCGGGTAAAGGTATATGGGTTGTCTTGATGCAGGAGAATAAGCTAATTACCTTTATTAGCCGGGGATTTTCTCAGAAAGCCATGAACAAGTTAGTGTATGGAAAAGAGCTTATGGCTATTGTCTTTGCCATCCAAAAATGGAGACATTACTTAATGGGCAGACACCTTATGGTGAAAACTGACCAGAACGTATTGGGGGAAGAACAGGAGAAGTGGACCTCAAAATTGATGAGGTTTGATTTTGAAATACATTATCAGCCAATGAAAGAAAATAAGGTGTCTGATGTCTTTTCAAGGAAGATTCTGTTTTCTGTCATCTCTCATGTGGAATTGACAGATTTAACGGATCCGGATGATGAGATAAAAGCTTATCCGCGATTGAGAACTATAATATAAGACCTTTTAATTGATTCCAAGTCCCATAAAGGTTTTGAGTTGTTTGGAGGGAGATTATTACTTCATGGCAGGATGGTAATTCCAAAACAATCCAAATTAATTCCTTTGATACTTACAGAATTTCATAAGTCCCAGGTGAGGGGACACTCGGGGGCACTAAGAACTTATAAAAGGATTGCAGGAGTAGTGTATTGGGAAGGAATGAGGAAGCATATTAAGGAATATGTGGCAACATGCCATATCTACCAGCAACATAAAATTCAAAATTTATCACCTACAGGGTTATTGTAGCCATTACCCATTCCTACACAGGTTTGGGCTTATATATCAATGGATTTTATTGGCGGCATGCCCAAGGCAATTGGGTTAGACACCATTTTTGTAGTGGTTGACAGAATGACTAAGTACGCCCATTTTATAGTAGTATGTCATCCCTATTCGGCTAAATACATTGTTGAAGTTTTTATTAGGGAAGTAGTAAGATTGCATGGTTTTCGTAAGATTGTAGTGTCTAATCGTGACAGGGTTTTTCTCAGCAACTTTTGGTCTGTATTGTTCAGAATGGCTGGCTCTAAATTGCATTACACGATTGCCTATCCCCCACAATCAGATGGGCAGATAGAAGTTGTTAATCGCTGCTTGAAATCCTATCTAAGGTGTTTCTGTAGTCCAAGACCAAAACACTGGCCCAAATGGCTACATTGGGTTGAGTTTTGGTGTAACACTTCATACAAAGAGTCTACTAGAATGACACTGTTTAAGGCCTTATATGGATATGACCCAACAAATTTGTTTCGAGGAAGTCATCAGCAATCAGTTGTTGAGGAGGTTTCTGCAATGTTGCAAGAGAGAGATGTTGTCCTTGCTGATTTGCACTATCACTTAGTGCTGGCCCAGAATAGGATGAGAGTTCAAGCCAACAAATAGAGGAGAAAATTGATTTTTGAGGTGGGAGAGATGGTTTACTTAAAGCTCCAACCTTACCGTTTAAAGTCTTTGGCTCGAAAGGCTAATGAGAAATTGAGTCCAAGATTCTATGGTCCTTACAAAATTTTAGCCCGGGTTGGAGAAATGGCCTATAAATTAGAACTCCCTCCAGACTGCAAGGTGCACCTAATTTTCCATGTGTTACTCTTAAAAAAACTATCTCACCTACAGTAGTTTCCTGATCCTTGCCATCTATTTTATCCAAAGAATGGGAGCTGCAAACTGAGCCCGAGGAAGTTTTGCAATGGAAATACACTTCGGAGGGAGGTTTGGAGGTGCTAGTTAAATGGAAGCATTTACCTTCTTTCAAAAATACTTGGAAAGATTTTTTCTTGCTTAATAACCAATTTCCTCTTTTCCACCTTGAGGACAAGTGGTTAAAATGGGAGGGAGTATTGATATGATTAGCAAAATGGACAAATTCGGGAAAATGTATAAAAGGAAGAGGAGCGGGGAATTAAAAGATCCCCGTGGATAGGATGAGTCAGCATTAGGAAGAAAAGTTGGTTATAGTGGGTTAGGTGGTTGGCCAGGAGTCAATTACAAATAAGAGGAGGAGCATTGGAGAGCATCATCTTGGACAATTAGGACCTTTGGGCTTTTTGGGAGAGAACCAGAGCCTCTTTAGGTGTTTTGGGCAGTAGTAATATGTAATAGTGCTATTTCAACCTTGTAATTACCGCACTGTGGTCTTCTTTTTCATTCTGTAAATTTTCCTTTAATACTTGTATGATTGTATTTGATCATTGAGAATACAGCTTGTAATCGTCCAGAATGGACCTGAGTTTGGGTTCAATCTTATAAATACAATATACTTCTTAATTTTTGTTCTATTTAACTCTACCTATTATAATGTCTTAATTGTTTTCATATAGATTTGCAACCCTTGCGACGCGTATGGAGCAATACATTGCCGGACAATCGAGGGATTTGGTTGACCAAGCATACACAAAATTTGTTAGTGATTCCTTTCAAGAACTGTTTGTTTTGTGATGGATAACATACAAATTAGCTGAGAAATGTAGTTAATTTCTCTCAAGCACTGTTATAGAATAATACATGTGCCTTCACCTAACAGATTAAGCTTTTTGGTTGAATTGGTTATTTAAATGGCATTAAAGTTTCTACTATCTAGAGATCTAGAGTTCGATCATTGCCGCTCCATTCTTCTTATAAAAAGTTTAATTATCCACGCTTCAATCCCTAAAAAAAGGTTCTCAATGTGGTGGGCCTATGAAATGTTCCATGTTTCGATCCCTAAAAAATGGGCTCTTGGTGTGGTGGGGCATACATTGTCCATGCATTAATCCTATAACCCTCATGGCACGAGGGATGTGTTAAGGAATAATATAAAATAATATATGTGCATTTACCTTACAATTTAAGTTTTTGGATTCAATTGATTCTTTAGAGGCACTTGCTTTCCCAAAGATGATGAGACTAAAATAGATGGAAGAGTTTAGACTTTGTAGGTTTGAACTGTCAGGTGCACAGCGATAAGAACCAAACCAGAGATTAGGGAAAAAATGAAGATAAAAAGAAAGGACAAACTATTAATAATGGACTGATTCAACAAAATCCAGCATAACAGTATGCAATTCAAGGAATTACAAAGAAACTGAGATACAGAGACTGAAATACAAGGAAACAAAATTACTGAGAAATTGATAAAACAGGAAGATAATTTCAGAAGAGTTAGGGAGCTTTCTGATCTCTCCCATAAGCCCAAAGGTTACAATGCCTAAAGATGCCCCCTCTTGATCGATGATTCCTCCCTTTAAGCAGCATGGGATGTGCACTCCCACAACTTCCCTCAAGGCTAACTGATTTTCTTTGCAACAAATTGGGAATATTCACTTCAGCTGCTGACTCAGCATTAGCTAACAGAATTGTATAACAAATATTTTCTATAGTAACCTTAGTCTTGGGTGGATCTCTATCATAGAGTTTTGGCTCCAGGTTTTAACTAGCATGAAGTTTTTTTTTCTCTACCCATTTTTTTCCTTTTGGGGTGCTGGGAGAAGAAAGGTACTTAAGGTGTTGTGGAGTCATGCTTTTTTTTTTTAATGCATGGGGTGCGTTTGGTTCGAATAAATTGCAGGTTTTCTGCCTGTCGTTTCAATCCATGAATATTCTCCAAGGTAGGATAGTCTCCTTGCATCTACGGAGGTTTTGCTTATGATTTTTAAGAGGGCTCCTTGTTTCTTTTGCTGCAAGGAGGTTTCCTGGTTGTCCTGTTCTACATTCTTCATTTGGTCCAAAGAATGCAATTCGATAGATTAAGGAATAAGAATATAAATTAATCAATTGGAATAGGAATCTTGTTTTGATTCTATAGTTTGGTACAACTAGAAACAAAATAACGTGGAAAGGGATTCGATTGATTTTAATGATCAAAATAACTCTAATGAGAAAAAAAAAAAAAAAAATCTTCCATATGTTATAGAATTTGAATTCTCAAAGTTTTTTTTTTTTTGTAAAGGAGGTATTAATTTATTCTTTTATTAAAAAAGAAAAGTCTTTACGTCTTTCAATCAAGTTTTGCTAAACATTTTATTGTTTTAGGCTTTACTTCTTTCAATCAAGTTTTGATAAACATTTTATTGTTTTTGCCTGCATCCCTGACTTGACAACCAGTAATTTTTTTGCTGTATTCATGATTTTCTATACACTGATGAATCATCAGTGAACGAAAAATTGATAGTCTTGATATCAAAAAAATAAAATAAAAAAAATTGACAGTCTTAAGTCATCTGCACTATGTTGATAAATACTACAGGTGATTTCAATTGTTTACTGCTTACCCTTTCTGTCTGCAATCCAAGTATTCAATCTTCCTTTTTTTTCATTTTTCTTTATTATTTTGTTTTTCTTTTCATCTGTTTCAACAATGTGTAACTGAAACTGGCATATCTTTTGCTGGTGGGATTGTTGCTTGACAGGTTAGCATAATGTTTGTAACTTTGGAAAAAATTGCACAAACAGATCCAAAATATGCAGATATTTTTCTTATAGAGAACTATGCTGCTTTTCAGAATAGGTAAGATTTTTTGATCCCCCCTACGAAGAGGAGGCTCAAGGCTGTTTCAATTCTTCCTTGTCTGTTGGTTTTAGAGTAGAAGCAGCATCTACTGCGACTGATACCAGAACAGTCTTTACAAGGAGACAAAAGCAGATTTTCACTTATTATTTTTGTCTCTTTTTCTCAGTTTGTATGACCTTGCCAACGTTGTGCCCACTTTGGCCAAGTTTTATCATCAGGCTAGTGAAGCCTATGAGCAAGCTTGCACACGCCATATTAGCATGATTATCTACTATGTAAGTATTTTATTCTCTATTTTCTGTCTCTTTGTCGATCATACTTGAATTTATAACATGTAGGAAATACAACTCATAATCCCTTTTTTACCTTGAAAAGCAATTTGAACGCCTTTTCCAGTTCGCAAGAAGAATTGAGGACTTGATATTCAATAATGTTGCACCCGAAGAGGTTTGTTTGTGCAATTCTGTTTGCTAATCTTTCATAGACTCTTTCTGCACAGCATCTCAACATATATTTTATTAAACAAATTGTTTGCAATGTTTATCCTACATTGATACTAATCCTTGTAGATGGAGTCTAAAAATCCTTCCTGGGCATCATGAATAAATTATGGGAAATTAAAGGTGTGTTAGATTGCTACACTATTTGGGGTTTCCCTCCCAGTATTAGTAATAAAAGCAGACTAATTGATCAAAATCTATCTACTTGTATATATGCATTTACACAATTTGTCACGTTGGCTGGTCCGTGTTTATGTTGTGTACTGGTTTTGTGTTTATATGAGGTTCGAAAACTTAGGCCCTACTCTGAGTCCTCTTTTCGTCCTCTCCTTTACAGGTTTATGCTCTAAATCATTACTTTTGCCAGTTTGCTGTAGTCCTCTGCTAAAAATGTACCGGTGTTATTTAGTTGCTATGATCTTCATCTTCAAATTGACGAGACACCTACAACAGTTTTTTAATTTCTTATTATTCTTTACAAAGAGTACTGTCAGATTTAGTGCATGCCATAATAAGGGCTTAAAGGATTGTATTTGTACTTTTGCATCTGTTAATTGTCAATTTTGTATATTTTTTCCTTATTTTCTTTGTTTGTGAACTATATAGATAGCCAAACTTTGCACTTATCTCTGGATATTTCGCTTTCTAAATTGGCAATTGTATGATGTTATACATCAATTTCAGATTCCTATCCAGCTTGGGCTGTCAAAAGCGGATTTTCGGAAGATGCTAAAGTCCAGTTTATCTGGGGTAAGATGGTGCCTATCTTTTTTGAAAACCTTTTTCGCAAGTGGCATACTTACCTTGTTAATTATGTTTTGCTTTCCTATTTAGGTGGACAAGTCCTTTGGGGCAATGTATAAGAAACTGCAGAAGAACTTAACTTCGGAGGAACTGTTACCTTCCTTATGGGATAAATGCAAGGTACGTTGTATTTAATTCCAATTGACCAACAAAAATATCTCCGATTTACAATAAGGATGAAGGGAAAATCGTGTGGTAAATATTTCCAAATTTCAAGGGTCTCATGATTGCTTCGGCAGTTTGGCTGAGAGCATCACCACTGCCCTTCTACAAACTTTGAAGTGCTTGTAAAAAATAATCATTTTTGCATTGAATGCCCAGACTTTTAAGTGCTTCAAGCCCCCAACATATTTAAGGGCCGTCAGATTACTTACTATAGATCCATAGATAGTAATAGTGGATTTGTAGGTGCAAAAGAGGCCTAAAAAAGGCCGAGGTTGATAAATTTCCGTGCCAAAGGTGTAGAGAAAAATATGATGTGCAATTAAAGTTCTTTTTCTCGAGAGGAAAAAAAAATTAATGATGCTTACTGCATAGATGGTCGTATCTGAATTTCGTGGGAAAGGCTGAATTCTTAACTACTCCCTGTGGCGGAGCAGAGCCCCAAAATTGAGAAGGGACTCACTCTGATGCAAACCAAATACAATTTGAGCCCCTATATATAGTTGTTTTGAGGCGCATGTATGGCTGAAAAAATAGAACATCTTAAAATGGCAGTCTTTCTTTAATAAGAAGGAATAAAACATATGGTGGCTGGGCAACAATATAACGGCTGCCACTTTCTTTTTTTCTTCAATAGAAAGTAATCAGTTCATGGATAGCAAGAGAAGACTCCCAGACTAAGAAATTTCTCGTATTATGTACCATTCAATGTATACTATCTATCAATTATAGCATTAGAATTGTATTTGAGAGACAGTAATAACTTTCATAACTAAAATGATACACATTCAATGATACAAAGCAAAAGATTAGGATTAGGAGCACTAAGAATTTCTCCTACAACAAAGTAAAAAAGCATGCAACGGTTTCTAATTGTTGTTTCCCCAAAACTATGGCAGAAGGATTTTCTTGATAAGTACGAAAGTTTTGTGCAACTTATCGCCAAGATTTACCCTGCTGAGTCAATCCCTTCTGTAGCAGAGATGAGAGACATTTTAGCTTCCATGTGAAGGGTTTATGTGTGTATATATTTTCTTAGAATCTTTTTGACATATAATCATTCTTTTTTGCCACGATGTAATTTGATTTACTTAATGAAGTGCATTTCTGTAGTTCTGATTATTTGAAACAAGCATTTTAATGCATCATCGTGAGAATGTGATGAATAAATATCTTTGCTCATGTGTGTTTGACGTTTCGATTCCGTTGTGATAGCCATTTTTCATATCTATGGTTATGTTTGGTAGAAGTTTTATTTTGGGTTTGATGGGTAAGTGTGGGTGAGTATTGGAAAATATCACGTTTGGTTTAAGTTTTTGAAAAAAAATACTAGGCAAATAGGATGGTTGGTAAAGACTTTGGTGTTATTTTCGGGTGAAATTCACTGTTACAAAATACCACTTGTGAGATGTGGTATTTTGAGATAACTGGGGAAGTGGAAAAACAGGTGCGAAGTTCCTCCGAAACATATATTTTGCAAATTTAAATAAATTTTTTGGTAATATTTCGGTCAACCAAATATCTTTTTTTAAATTTTTTCGTCAAACTGACTTTTCTACCATTTTTCCAGTAATTATATTTTCCTGGTAAAAAAAAAATTCTCCTTTACCAAACACCCTTATAGTTGTTTGTGAGTGACTTGCAACCCTTTTTTATCATTAGATATTGGTAGTTATACTTTATCGTTTACTAGTAATGTCCGATCGCTTCAAGAATCAATGACCAACTCTACACACTAATATTGGACTTTTCAATGTGCTTTATTCTCATTCATACACTTCCTGTAAAAATTTCATAGGAAGTCACCTATCCCAAAATTGCTCCAAGTCAAGCATGTTTAACTATGGAGTTCTTCCGTTATGGACTATCAAAAAGTAGATGCATCTTGTTAGTATAAATAGTACAAATTAATTCTTATAAGCTATCTCCAACTGTGCAATTTCATACCTGCACAGTCTTTGGAATTCCTCTCTTTCGGGTGTCGATTCGATTCATTCATGTACTCCGCTGGAAGTCTGTCATGAGCTGCTCCTTGTCTGTGCTCTTTCGCACCAGTGATCACTCCCTACCCTCGTCAGCGCTTAAGATGTTACATGTACATGTTTTGTGTGGTGTTATACGTGTATAATGTATGTACTGGTGATTCGATGTATATATTTTTAAAAAATAAGATATTATGCCTATTTTTTTTCCAACAACATTGACCTTTTCTCTCTTCTTCCAATATTGGTTGAGATTGTAATTTAATAATGTTATAAAGAAGTAGGTAATATCCTATCTTATATTTTTATATTTAAAATGATGTTTATATATAAAATATAAAATAATACAATAGTAGTTAAGCACTAATTTGTGTCTAGAAGTAATACCCATTTACTTGCAAGCTTTTTTTAAAAAAGTATTTATTACAATTTTTAAAAAGTTTTATTTATTCAAAGAAGAATGTATTAAAAGTGTTCCAAAATTTAATATTAAATGATTTAAAATTTTTTTATTAAGGATTGTTAATATGTGTCTTTATAGACACGTTAAAAATATAAATTATTAAAAAAAATGTAAACCATTTAATATTTTAAAATTCAAAAGCATTTAGTAATTTTTAAATGGCTAGGTTAATTTAATAAAATAATAAATGTATTTCAGGGATGTATGTTAATAAAAAAATTTATTCAAAGATTTTATTTTAAATCTTAAATATGTGCCAAGATACAGGTACCCAAAAAAAAAAAAAAAAAAAAGCTCACAACCTTTATCTTTTTTTTTTTGGTAAGCAGCTCACAACCTTTATCTTTTCGCAACTTACCCGTACAGACAGTTTATTCTAAACATTATCAATTATAAAATTTTAATATTTCCTAAGTGGTAAGAAATTTTTTTTTCCAAACAATTATAAGATCTACTTAGAACTTGTAAGGTGCAATTTTATTAAGCCAAAAATCTATTTTAAATTTAAAATTGAAAATAAGAACTTTAAAAATAAAGTTAAAATGACTTAAAAATTATTTTTCTTAAGAACTGTTTCTAATTAAAAATACCTTAAATGGTATTAGAAACCTTTATAATTTAGATAAATACAAATCATGGTGGCATTCTCAGTATTTTGGAGGGAGGGAGGAATTGAATGATTTGTTATTAGAATAGAAAGTAAAGTTTGTAAACATAATTTTAGAATAAGGAAAAGAGATATGACAAAACAAAAATATCATATATCTTACAAGAAAAATTCTTATATTAAATATTTGTTTGGAGTGTTTTTTGTTTTTAATTAAAAGTTACTTTGAATCTAAGCTTAAAAATAATATTTTAAAAAATAAAACTAAAAAGAGTTATTTTACAGCTCAAGTTAAAAATAAATTATTTGATAAATTAATTCATAGTTTTTTTCTAAAAAGTTAATGTACATATTAAAAAAAGCTCTTCCATTCACAGAAAAAAAAAACTCTTCATGACTCATGAGAATTTTTGACGTTTTCTTTTTTATTCATTTTATGATAAAAAAATTTACAAAGTACCATTTCACATGTCTTATTTTTAGTTTTTTTTTTCTACTTAAAAGCAAAAGCTTAACAACATGTTTTTATAAAACCTCTTATTATTAAAAGATTTTTTTTTTTATAATGAAGAAAAAAGTTAAAAGTTAAAAGCTCCCAAGAGGATTTTTTTTTTAATATATATATATATATATATATATATATATATATATATATCCTTTTTTTGGAGTCCTCATATTTATTTTACAATTTTTGGAGTCCTCATCTTATTGTAATTTTATTTTTAACCTTAATAATTCATCATAATAACATATTATTTTATCTTCCCTCCTTCAAAATCACGAGAACAACTTTATATAATTACCAAACAAGTTTTAACTTCTTCTTTTTTACTTTAATTTGAAGTAACTTTTAGCTTTAAAAAAAAAAAAAAAGGTGCCAAACAAACTCAAAAATATATTTGGTTAAATTTCTCCTTCTAAGTTAAGAAAAGAATCCTCCACGTAGTAAAAATTGAATTATAATAAAAAATAACACAAGGGATGATACGGTTGCTAAGCGAGCCTTGCCGAAGGAGCAAATTGTTGGGGTTGAAAGCTCTTTTGGTTTGAATCTTAGGCAAAATAATTTGGAGCATGTGACAAAATTATTTAAAAAAACAAAAAAACAAAACCGAAGGGTGGGATGATACTAGAATGGGCCGAGACCCCCCAGTCCACCCTGAAGGCGATGAATCAGACTTTTGATGGGCAACATTGATTTGATCCTCTTCCTCTTCAGGGAAATATTTTCACACAAAATTCTGATTCAGACATGATTTTGTGTTTCAGCTCAATTCCATCTCCTCTACCTCTCCGCCCCTTCTCTAAGTCTAACCCAAATCCACTCTCATATTCCAAATCATCATCATCATCCTCATCCTCTCTTGTTGTAATCAATACTACCCACTGCTTGCGTAGCTGTGACCTCTTCGATCTGCATCACGAGCTAATCCCTTATGAAGTGGCATGGTCTTGGCAAAAACACATTGTAAGGGAAAAGATGACACACATTGAAAAGCAAGGAGATTGTACCGACACCCTTATTATTCTCCAACACCCTTCTGTTTTTACATTGGGTACCGCTAGTACCCACGACAACCTCAATTTTGACATAGAAAATCCCCCCTTTCATATTTATCGTACTGAACGCGGTGGAGAAGTTACATACCACGGCCCTGGCCAGGTGCTTCCTCTTCTCAATTCTCTTGTTTATGTTCTGATTAATTTGAAATATGTTTATTATTAACTCACACTCCTTGTTTCTTCGGTCACTAGTGTATTTTGACTTAGGAATTTTTGGATTGATTTCTAAACTATGTATTTTGCATTGCAGCTAGTTATGTACCCCATTATCAACCTGAGAAGGCACAAAATGGATCTTAATTGGTACCTCAGGACCCTTGAGGAGGTCGTCATTCGTGTTCTTTCTTCAACATTTTCAATTCAGGCTTCTCGGCTGGAAGGTTTAACTGGTGTTTGGGTTGGTAAGTTATAATTATCTTTATTGGTTGTTACTATCTACATCAACAAATTGTTAGTTTTTTTTATCAAAATATTATCAAATATCATCCTGTAAGTCAATCTTTCTTTCTTAGTGCTTATAACATTTTGAGTTCTTTTCCTGCAACCTTCCCTGAGGGATTTACTTAGGTTGATAAGATTTTAGTTCCACTTACATACACATCATGACAAATTAAATCAAGATTATGCTGGTCTTGTCGATCCAATGCGAAATAGGTTGGATAAGTTTTATTCCTAACTTCGGAGTCTTGGTCTTTACTTAAAAACATTTTAGATACTGCAACCTAAACTTTCATGACGGAGAAAACAAGAACTTAATGAAATTTAAGCAGTTCAAAATCCCAGTCTTTTTCCTTATTCTTTATTTCAATTTGTTCCAGGAAACGAGAAACTGGCAGCAGTAGGTATACGAGTGGCTCGCTGGATAACCTATCATGGCTTAGCACTTAATGTCACTACGGATTTGACTCCCTTTAAATGGATCGTTCCATGCGGAATACGTGACCGTCAAGTTGGGAGCATTAAGGGGTTGCTGAGAAAAGCTCAGTCGTGTAATTCTCATGGAAAAGCTGATTTGGATTATTTGGATGATGCCAGTCTTATTCGTATTATTCACAGGTCTTTGATTGAAGAGTTCTCACAAGCTTTTCAGCTTGAGTACCAACATAGAACAATTTCTGTACCCGTGTTGTGTGAACTTACGAAAGAAATACAGCAAAGTTGAATTTGTCTGATGTTCATCGCAGTCCCTTTGATTATTCAATTTTTTTTCAGATACGCTAGATTAAAACATCATCGGTCTCGCAATCAAACCAAATTGTTGCACTATGTTGTGTTTCAGAATACCAGCTGCTTGCAAAAAAAAAAAAAAATAGCACTGAACATTATAAACGAAACTTCTCCAGTACTCTATAAAGGAATAAAACAATGAGGTGACATTGTCAAAATCTGACACGGCTAAATGTAAGCCCTTTCAAGTTCAGGACTTACAAAATCACACTCTTCGTTTTCTTGATAATAAACTAATATGATCAAGTCAAGTCTTACAGATACCATCCAAACATATACAACACCCCCCAATCCACGCTAAACTCAATAATTATCTGCTACAGGCCTAGAAGGGAATAGCCTCAAAAGAAACGTCATCAATGACCAAAGGCACACAGCCCCCAGTACTTGGAAGGTCACTATCATTGCAAACAAAGCTCCAATTCGTTCTGCCACGTCGGGGGTGGGAGGAAGCTCCTTCATAGTGAACATTATAGTTTGAGTAAAACGAGCAGCTCTTGTAAGCTGATACAATCTGTATACCTGGCAAATCAAAGTTATTAAAGTTTCCGTTACTCCTCTCCCATCAATGGGCAGATGAGTCAAGCTGCATTAAGATCTTAAATCAAACTGAGAATAATAAAAGCAAAACACAACAAACAAACAGACAAACCTCAAATATAATCGGGACTAGAGGCCAGCAAGATGACCCACGCTTCTCCAAAGATCTCTCAAATGCAAGTTGAGCAGCACAGCCAACTAAAAAAGGAGCTACAGCTACTACAGATGTCAGGCGAACCACTGACCAGTTCACGTACAAAAGTAAGAGAGGAGCAATAATTTTCAAACCCATTGTAAAAAAAGAAGTGTATAGGTATCCTCTGAGGCCAGTGATGAGACCCCATCTTTTTGAGCTGTACTGCAAATAAGGCCTCTGGACATGATCTGCAACGTGCAAAAATATCGCAACTCCAATGTAGAACAGGGCCTCGAAAGATAATGAACTCACAATATCTGCATTTTATTGGCAATAGAAATGTGTATAAGAGATACATCTCCCCCACATTTTACAAGGTTCTTACAAAAGGGAAAAAAAAAAATATATATATATATATATATATATATATATATATATATTATAGAATTCCATTCAGATTTTTTTTTAATAGCAAATTCAACTTCCTTCCAAAGACTGTTCAGAAGTACACCAAACTTGTCCAAAAGAACACCATGGAAACACAAAATTTCCCCAAAATAGCTAAAAGTCATACAAGAAACAAAGGCTTCAATTTTCCATACGTGTTAGTGATAATTCAACCTATGTGTTACTAAACTAATGACTTTTACTGAAGTCTAGATCCACATCATCAAGAAGCTTCAGAAATACAGAAAAAATAAAGGGGAAAAGTGCAATAGCATGAGACATTCACAATTCCACGACATGGTTATTATTCCACAGAAATAACAATGTCAAAACTCAACATCTCATTCTCACATAAGAGTCAAATTCTTTAACTTTTTCTTCTCCCAGATGTTTGGTTTGAGATTGGTAGGATAGTCAGTGAAGGTTAGGTTTTTTATTATATCCCAATCCCATTCATTATCTCAGTGTATAGGTAAATAATATATGTACATAACCAGAGGACATATTAGAACTGAGACTGTTGATAACTCAAAATATTTTTATTTAATTAAGGTTATGATAAAAATTAATGAGATAATAATTAATAGTTTTTTAATCCCCGACTGTATCAAGCCAATAATTACTTTGGTATTAACAGCAGCAAGAGACCTTAACAATGTACCATGGTGCACACAAAACAGAGGGGTGGCATCAGCATATAAGGACAATTGCAACCATCATTATATTGGGGCAGTTTTTTTTGCAGTTTATTTTCTACAGCACAAACGACTAGCATCCAATTTCAAGCACAAAACATAAGGGTCGGAATCCAAAGACAGTAAGAGAAAGTACAAAGTTGTACAAAAACCTGCTAAAATCACATCATTGAAGAAAGCCTCAACTACATTGCCAAGAAAGAACTGAGGTATAATCAAAGACGATACAAACGCAGCAGGAGCTAAGAGCCAGAAGTAAGAGCTCTTCTCTTCTTTGAAGGGGGCAGATTCCAATTTCCCTTCTTCTACCGAATGATATGTCAACCCATAAAAAGAAACAGAACCTGATTTACCACCAAATGGCTCCATCCCATTATGCCCAGTAACAGGCACACTAGAACTTTGGTTCGTATGAACTTCCAAGCCACCATTTACATTGGAATCAGAAGCATGTATACGAGGTCTTTGAAATTTGTTCAATCGCAACACTGAAGGCTCTTTAATCCCCCATTTTAAACCTGAAATCAAAAAAATTAGTTTATTGAATGGATGTGATTGAATAGCGACCCAAAAATGCAAAAAAAAAAAAAAAAAATTCAATTTTTATTTTCTATTTTCTGGTGTTATTCTTAACAACCGAACACAATAACCATGCAATTAGTGTGGGGGGAAACCGTACATTTCAACGCGTTTCCAAACCGAAATCTCTGTCTCTGATATCTGAATGGAGTGAGGGTTCCAATCGCTTGTGACTGCGAATAAACGTTAACAAGTAAGTAAACAGTGTTGAAAAATACCAGACAAGAGTTACAATGGAAGCATAGAAATTCATTCGCAAGTGTGGGTTAAGGTTTACTCACTGAGATTATTCGATTATTAGAGAATTCAAGTGGTTGAGAAGAAAGAGCGCAACAAAGGGTTTGAAGTTCCATCACTTGAATTTAGGGTTTTAGGACAATGGCCTAACTATGCTATCTTCTGTTCCTAAAACCCTCATTTTCTGCCTGCGTTTTGTAGCCTAGCTGTCACACAAGGGTATCCAGGTAATTTTACACGTTCAGTAGATAGAAATTACCTTTTTTTTAATAAATATTTGTTTAGAATTAATGTATAAAAGTGTAATGCTACCACACAAAAAAAAAATGTATAAAAATGTCAAAATAAGTCGAGGATTCAGTCTAAACGATTAAAAAAATGTATGAATAAAGATTAATGAAAATAAAGTAAAATTAATCTTCATCCGACTTCATTCAGCCTCAGATGAGCAAGGTATCGGATTCAAAATTATCATCATTATACGGAGCCGTTGATGAGCACTGAGCGAATTTTCTTTCGCCTTTTACTAAAAAAAATTATCATCGTTATAATTTTTTTTTCTTTTTAAAATTTTCTTAGATGTATTTTAAAAAAGATTTATTTTTTAAGTAATAATAAATCAATTAAAGGTCCAAAATTTTATTTTTTTTTGGTAGGTAAGGTCCACAATTTTAGATTCTCAGTATATAAAAATGGAATTAATGTTTCTTTTGAGATAATTTTATCTCTTACACACATAAAAATATGTAAGACTTATATGGGGCTATGTGAGAAAAAAAAGTATGGATCCCCCGTATTTTTATATATGTAAGAGATAAAATTATCCGTTATAAAATGAAAAATATTAATCTCTTAACACAAATATAAAAAGGAAAAAAAGTTTCCGATGTTACTTTAGATAACTTTATCTAATGTTTATCGAAATTTACAAATGGGTGAGATTGACTCAATTAACCTTTAACACCTTTAATAATTCACTTTTATATATTGAAGAGTAATATTTTTCTTGTGTTACATTAAAAAAGTATTATTTTCTATATTCATATTTTTTAAATAGGTTACACGAGAATTTTTTTCTCTTATCTTCAACTCTTTTTTCTCTCCTATTTATTATTTAGGTAAAAGATAATAGTTTTCTTATCTAATATAAGAAAAGTATTACCCTATATTTAAACATAATTCATTCTTTTTAGATTGGTTAAATTTCTTAGTACAATTTCATTTAAAAAGTGACACGTGTAGCCTTTAATTTCTCTTTAATCATTTTTTATTAATTTTATGTATATAATTTATAATTTTAGATATTTTTAAACTAAAATTTTGGGTTTATTTGCATTAATTATACATGTTTTTTATAAGTTTAAACGTGAATATTGAATGTTTTTCTTAAATTTTTTAATGAATTTGCAATATGACATTATATGTTAGTACTAGTATATACAGATTACATTATCAACTAATTTTTTAATCATTGAATAGAGACATATTTGATTATTTTTTCAAATATGTAAGATTCAGAATATATATATATATATATATATATATATATATATATATATATTAATATTAATAATTACATATATGTATATATATATTTTATACACATATATATATATGAAACAAAAAAAATTAAGGAAAACATAATTTTTTCCTATAATAAGTTTTTGTACATTGTTTTTTTTATTTTATATTTGTACATAATCCCACACAAACAATGTGTATCATTTATTTTGACACAGATAAAAAAAAAAGAAATAAAAAATAAACGTTAACAATTGATATTATATTAAGTTATGTGAGTTACAATTTCATCTCGAGCTAGTATAAAATATAAACTTATTGTGTGTTTGAATTTGTTTATTTAAGGAAAATAATTATGTTAAAACCTTTTAAAAGAACTTAAAAAAAATCTGTAAATTAATCTTTGTCACACATACACTGTGAACTGGCCATCCACGGTAAAAATTATAAAAATTTTGCAAATTCTTTACATTAGTTTTTGCATATTTTTATTTTAAAATGTTAAAAGAAAGAGAAAAGGCGTGTTTGAAGGGTAATTTTCTTATTTTGTTATTAAAAGGTGTGAATAAAATATATACAATGAAATGTCGTAACAAAAATTAATATGGACCCAACAAAGTTGAAAAAGGTTTTTCTTGCAAATAATAATATTATGGGAAAACTATTTGTGCTTTAAAAAGATGTAAGTTGTGTCATTTTAATTTTTTTTATTCTATGTACTCCAGTAGTGCATATTTATAACATGAAAATTTATTTTTCTTTTTTCTTTTTTCAATCACATCAGCTGAAGTGAAAAGTAAAAAATAAAAAATAAAAAATCATGTTATAACTATGTACTACCGAGAGTACATAAAGTAAAAAATTAAAAAAACATAACTTACATCATTTAAAAGGATTCACACTAAACCATAATATTATATACACGTACCTACATAGAGTTAACTCACATTTATATAACTTATTATCTAAACACAATTGATTTTACTTTATTCATTGTATCATATATTTCAATTGTGCTTAATTCACATGGCGCTTACAATAAGATACAAATGATAATTACAATGATTATGGATTTAAGGACAAACCATGAATGTTACAACTTCTAATGGTAAAATTATACATAACATATGTACCAAAAAAAAAAAAAAAAAAAAAATTATACATAACATCCAAATATCAAGAGAGCATTTTTATTTTTATTTTTGGAAATAAGAGAGCATTTTTAGGACGAAGGGGGTACCTATTGCCTATTTAATAAGTCATGAGTGAATGTCTTTGCTTTTTCTTTCTTCAATGTACTAAATAGTGATGCGACCGGAGCACTTAAAATATGATTTCTTATTTTTATTGGATGAATGTACTAAATAGTAGATATGACAAGAGCACTTAAAATATTTTCATATATAAGACGTTTTTTTTTTTTTTTTTTGGAAATATATAAGACGTTTTCTAGAAGCTGAATCAGCACAAAGAAATATTTTCAACCAAACTGAAAATAATCTGGCTTTTTGTATATAAAAAAAGAAGAAGTTGAAGAAAATAACCTGGCTTTTAAATGTGTACGGTTTGTTTTTGCATTTAAATCGTTGCAGAGAATAATTTTACACGATTTGTAGGGAGTAATTACCTCTTTTTTAATATTCGCTTAATAATAATTTTACTTTGAAAAATAATTTGTTTATAGATAAATGTATTGAAGTGTCAAAATAAGTCGAGGAGTCAGTCTAAATGATAAAAAAAGGGTATGAATTGGTTAATAAAAAAAAGTAAAAATAATTTTCATCCGACTTCATTTAGTCTGAGATGAGCTAGTTCTCGGATTCAAAATTATATCATTGTAATTTTGTTTCTTTTTTATTTTTTTAAGAATAAAAAATATTTTGAGTAATAATAAATTTTAAATGTTTTAATATAAGTTAATTTATGTTTTATATAAATTAATTAAATAAAAGCTTTAACGTTTCTACATTAAGTGAATATAGTAAATGAATTACATTCACTCCCAAAATAATATCGTTTTGAATTGAAAAGTTAAAAAAATTATAATAAAAAGATTATTATAACCCTGAAATAAAATTATAATTATAAAAATATCTAATTTTCACCCCAAAGAAACGTCATTTTAGGCTCAATATAGACCGAATACTTAAATAAATCATTAAAGTTTCGCATTTTTAGATTCTAAGTATATAAAAAAAAATGGAACCAATGAGCCAATCCAAATAAGTTAGAACTCATAGATAGTCGAGTTAGACCAATAATTTACAAATGAGCGACACTTACTCTATTAACACCTCTAATAATTCACTCTTATATATCAAATAATAATTCATTCTTTCGAGATAGGTTAAATTTCTCAGAATAATTTCAATTTACAAATGACACGTGTCACTTTAATTTATCTTTAGTCAATTTTTATAAATTATATTTATTATTTTAAAAATTGGATACTTTTAATCTTTATTTTTAGGATTACTTGAATTGATTATGCATATTTTTTTATAATTTTAAATATTTTTCTTAAAATTTTCAAGATTTATATAATTCATTATACAGTTGACATTACGTTATATGTAGGTACAAGCAGTTTACATCATTAACTAATTTTTTAATTATTAATCGGTGATATATTTAATTTCTCTAGTTTTTCCTTTACCTTTTTAAAAAAAAAAACAAAAACTTTTTTCTCTTATTTATTTTTTCTTAAAAAAATCTTTATTTTTTATGTATTTTTTCTTTTATTTATCTTTGTTTTATTTTATTTTTTATGTATATTTTTAATTTTCAATTTCCAGGGTTTTTTATTTTTTCTTTTCTTTTCAGTTTATCGTCCATCAACTTCAATTAATTTAAGATAAAGATGTCGATGTTGATATTAGTTGAAAATATATTTGATTAAAATTTATATTTCTCCACTAATTTATAGATTATCTTACATATTTATTGGTTTTTTAAATATATAACATTATATAAATAATAAAATTAAAAAATTAAGGAAAATATGATTTTTCCTATAATGAGTTTTATACTTTATTTTTTTTAATTTTTTATTTGTTCATAATCCCACACAAACAATGTGTACCATTTATTTTGACGAAGACAAAAGAAAAAGTCTAAGTAAGTAAATCATAACGATTAACATTGTAGTAAATCATATCAAAATGCCATTAGTAAATATCATTATATTTACAAAAATATCGCTGCCAAAACAAAAAAACAAGAAAAATAGCTTTTGAAAACATCTCTAAGTTGTTGTTCTTTTTTAGTTTTAAAAAGTAAAAAAAGATGCTATTTTTAAAACTAATTTTACGGAACACTCTTACGAAATAATTTTTTTTTGTTTTATTATTTTTAAAATTAAAAAATTGTTCTACAGAGCTGAGCCTAAAAATCCAATCCAAACTTTATACAGGGAATTTAGAACTCCATTAAAAAGCATATCCGATGCCAGCACACCTTATGCTTTAATGGGACACTGATCAAAATGTCACGTTTTGGCAAAAAAAATTATCAAAATGCCACGCGAACAGTAAAATTTTCAAAACTGCCACACGGCATAATTCGCTACACAGTGTAGCGAAATATGTCACGTCAGAATGCACAGAACCAAAAAGTGCCATGTGTCAGAATGTTGAAATTCGCTACATAGGGTAGCGAATTTCAACAATTTTGACACATGACACATTTTGGTTCTGACGTGACATATTTCGCTACACTGTGTAGCGAATTATTTGCATGCATAATTCGCTACACTGTGTAGCGAATTATGCCGCGTGACAGTTTAGGAAATTTTACTGTTCGCGTGTTATTCTGATAATTTTTTTTCAAAATGTGGCAAAATGGTCAGTGTCCCTACTTCAAGAGGGAGCAGCTAAAGCAACAGGGCTCTCTTGAAAAGCATATACATGATTATTTCGGCAAAGTTTTGCTCCTACAAGTCACGCTTTTTGGTGTGGGCAATGAGCCTTGCACGGCAAGACTTGCCGCATTAGATACGTAAATTGTTTGAAATCTAAATTAGTTTGGTACTTTTTTTAAGAGTTTAATATTTCTCATATTTTAAAAGATAAATTGTATCTTCTATATATATAGACATAATATAATTTGTAAGAATTATATATATATATATATATATATATATATATATATATAGAGTTTGGTGTTTGTCATTTTAAATGACATAAATTATGTCATTTTAGGAAAGAGATAGACACAGAACAACGGAAATCATGGGAGAGAGAAAATAGGTGATTTTTTTTAATTTAAAATTCAAATTTTCTGTGTCTATATCTCTCTTAAAATGACATAACTTTCTGTTATTTGGAATGACAAATACTTTTCCCATATATATATAAAAAGAAAAAATATAAAGAAAAGAGAGAAAAAGAGAGAATATGAACAGCAGGCAATTTTATCTGTTATCCTTTCTTTACATCTTTAGTCAACATTTTAAGTTTTCAATGGTAATCTGGCTTTAAATGTTTCTAAATACAAGGCTTGTGCTTAAAATTAAATCTCTATAAAGACAAGGCTAAATTGATACAAAGTGATCCCAAATAGCCAGAATTATTAGATAAACATCCTTCTTCGCTCAGTTTCTCATTTTCTACACGCTTACTGTGTCTAAAGTGTGAACCCAAATGGCATCATTGCCAATGGCCGAAACCAGCAATCTCCCACTCCGCAAAATCCCCGGAGATTATGGCATCCCCATTATTGGACCCATCAAAGACCGCCTCGACTATTTCTACAACCAAGGCCCCGACAAATACTTCATGTCCCGCTCCCTCAAGTACCATTCAACAGTGTTCCGCGCCAACATGCCACCTGGACCTTTAATTGCTTCCAACCCAAACGTCGTCGTCTTGCTCGACGGAAAAAGCTTCCCGATTCTCTTCGACGTCACCAAGGTCGAGAAGAGAAACGTGTTCACCGGCACTTTCATGCCTTCCACCGAACTCACCGGCGGTTACCGAATCCTGTCCTATCTCGATCCTTCCGAGCCAAAACACGAACAGCTCAAGCGCCTCATGTTCTTCCTCCTCAAGTCTAGCAGCAGCCACGTCATCCCCGAGTTCAATGCAAGCTACACAGCACTCTTCGACACCTTGGAGAAGGAGCTCGCAGCAAAAGGAAAAGCTAGTTTCGGAGATGCCAATGATCAAGCCGCGTTTAACTTCCTTGCTCGCTCTTTTTATGGGACCAACCCCGATGACACAAACCTCGGACGTGACGGTCCGAAGCTGGTACAGAAATGGTTGGCGTTCCAACTCAGTCCCATTCAGGTCTCGGGCCTTCCCAAGCTTCTAGAAGATTCTATTTTCCACATGTAAGGGCGTAATTAGGGGGGAATGGGAAAGGGGATTTGAAAGGAGAAAGAGGAGTTGAGAGAGAGGATGATAAGACTTTTGCCAAATAACTCATGCCATTGAGTGATTGATTTTTCATATTTAAAGGAATTGCAAAGCCTAATCTAGAATTCAAATTGCTGAAAGGTAGGAACGTATCATCCTAAAAATAAGCATTAACAACTAAGTCCTAAAAATAAGTACTGGAATAACAACTTTCTCTAATAAAGCAATTGCTATTTTATTGAAACTAAATTAAATGCTACTAATGGTTGGGCCTGTCATGTGACATAGTCCATTAGACGTGTTGGGGCTTGCCGTTGACGTCTGGGCCTATCTGTGGTGGGCTGATATGTTACATCCCCTTGGCCATCTAAACGATCCATGTCCTCATGGATGGAAATATTTTGTGATCCGCTAGCATTCAATGTGAGCTGCACGTCTGGATGTGAGTCAGCCTGAGCTACTGACCGTTGGGTAGTGTGCATTGGAGCGGCATTGGGCAGTGGAGCGGCGGTGTCATTATGATTGAGTGGTGTCATAATGGCATGGGGTGTAGCTTTTGATGGACGCGTTGGAGATGTATGGGAAACCCCGTCAGTCTCCTTGGATGCATCTTCTTCAAACATTGATCTCTCCTCTTCCCAAGTGGAGTCTTCTGGAGCGGAGTCTGACCATTGCACAAGAACCTCCTTGATTTTTTTTCCTCTTCTCCATATTTCTCGGTCGCCAAGTATGGCCACTGCCTGGTGTAGTGGTTTGTTGTCCCTCGTTTGTGTTGGTAACTGATGGACTTTGTACGGCGTCGCTGAGACGAAGGGTCGGAGGAGGGAAACGTGGAACACTGGGTGAATCTTGGAGGAGTCAGGGAGTTTTAATTTGTACGCAACCGGTCCGAGCTTCTGTAATACCTCAAATGGTCCATAATATCGCAGCGAGAGCTTTTGTGTACTCCGTTTCTGCAATGATATTTGACGGTATGGCTGTAACTTCAGTAACACTAGATCTCCTTCTTTAAACTCCCAGGCCTTTCTTTTCTTGTCACTGTAAGCTTTCATGGATGCCTGAGCAGTATTTAAGTTTTGTTTCAAACTTGTCATTATTTTGTTTCTTCTGGACAGATCTGTGTCGATTGCTTCCAAGTTGCTCGTTCCGAGACAATACGTTAACAGATTCGGAGGGGGAATACCAAACGTTACTTCAAACGGTGTGAATCCTGTGGATCTGTTGAATGATGTATTGAAATGAAACTCTGCAAAGCTTAAGATCCTGGACCATGTTTTTGGATTATCGTGGACAAATGCTCGCAGGTATTGCTCCAAACATCTATTAACACGTTCTGTTTGTCCGTTGCTTTGTGGGTGATAGGCTGAGCTGTACCGCAAGTGAGTACCTTGGAGGGCAAACATTGCTTTCCAGAAGTTGCTAAGAAAGATAGGGTCACGGTCGGAGATGATGGTTTTTGGAAAACCATGAAGTTTGCCGACTGACTCCCAGAATGCGTTTGCAACTTTTACCGCGGTGAAGTTTGCGGTTAAGGGTACGAAATGGCCTCCTTTTGATAACCTGTCCACAATCACAAAGATAACAGTAAAGCCGTTAGAGTTAGGTAAATGGGTAATGAAGTCCATGCATAAATCCGTCCAAATGGTGTTTGGGGGTGTGATAGGTTGCAGTAGGCCATAAGGGGAGTGATTTTGTGGTTTGATTTTCTGACAAATCTCACACTGTTGGACAAAGTTTTTAACATCTCTCTTCATCCCTTTCCATGTAAATGTTTTGTTCATGCGCAGGTAGGTGTTTTGGATCCCAGAATGTCCTCCTTGCAAGGAACTGTGAAACTCGTGTAGCAACGTGTTCTTCAATGAGGAATTTGCTGGAATGAAGATTCTGCTTTTATGAAAAAGAAAATTTTTTGTAAATTTCCAGTCCTTCCATTCATTTGGTTCTGTAATAATGCCCTGGATGACTGTAATAGTGTAGGCGTCCTCATTTAACTCCTGCTGTAATATGTCTGTGAAGTTGCATGTTGGGCCTGTGATTGCTGCTAGCTGGGAAGAGGGTAAGTTGCTGCCCTCTTCTGGAATTCGGGACAAGGCATCTGCTGCTGCATTTGTTTTGCCTGATTTGTAGACAATGGTGTATGAAAATCCCAAGAGTTGTGACAGGAATTGTTGCTGCTCCGGAGTTTGCACCACTTGGTTCATCAAGTGGTAAAGGCTTTTATGATCCGTGCGAATGACAAATGAAGCTCCTAGTAGGTATTGCCTCCATTTAGAAACGCCGCTAGTGATAGCAAACATTTCGCGTATGTAGGTTGACTTCTTTTGCATTGTTGGGGATAATTTTCGGCTGTAATAGGCAATTGGGCGATCATTTTGCATGAGAACAGCACCGATACCAACACCAGAAGCATCCGCCTCTAATATAAAAGGAATTGTGAAATCCGGAAGTATTAAAATAGGTGCTGTAGTGAGTAGTTCTTTCAACTTGTCGAAAGCAGATTCTTCCTTTGTACCCCAATTAAATCCCGCCTTGGAAGTTAGATCACTTAGAGGAGCAGCTATTGAAGCAAAATTCTTGATGAAACGTCTGTAGTAACCAGCCAAACCTAGGAATGCGCGTACTTGGGTCACAGTTGTAGGCTTAGTCCAATTTGTAATTGAACTAATTTTTTCTGGATCAGGGGCCAGTCCTTTCCCTGAAATGATGTGACCTAAAAACTGGATTGTATCTTTGGCAAACATGCATTTAGATTTTTTTGCAAAGAATGAATGTTCCCGTAGAGTAGATAGTACGGACATTAGGTGATTTTGGTGGTCCGTTAGGTTCCTGCTGTAGATCAAGATATCATCAAAGAATATCACTACAAATTTCCTTAAGAAAGATGAGAATACCTCGTTCATAGTAGCCTGGAAAGTAGATGGGGCATTTGACAATCCAAAAGGCATAACCAGAAATTCGTAGTGGCCCTGATGTGTTCTGAACGCAGTTTTATGAATGTCATTGCTATCCATTAAAATCTGATGGTACCCCGAACGTAAATCCAGTTTTGAAAAAACTGAGGCACCATGTAATTCATCCAGTAGTTCATCAATAGTAGGTATTGGGAATTTATCCTGTACTGTTATTGCATTTAGAGCTCTGTAGTCCACACAAAAACGCCAAGTACCATCTTTCTTTTTTACCAACAATACTGGGGAGCTATAGGCTGAATGACTTGGCCGTATGATTCCTTCTTTGATCATCTCAGAGACCAACCTTTCAATTTCATTCTTTTGGTAATGTGGGTATCGGTAGGGACGCACCTGAATTGGTTTGGTATTAGGGAGGAGGTGTATGTGGTGGTTTGTTGGACGATGTGGTGGAAGATGGGTTGGGGTGTTGAAGACGTCAGTGTAACGGTCAAGAATTGGGGATATGGATTGTGGGACAGGAAGTGAATGGTCGTTGTTGGGTTGGTGTGGGGTGACGGACAAGCACATTGGATATGCTTGTATGGGTTCATTGGCAATTAGTTTGTTTAGTTGGGAGTTAGTTATGGCTGAAGGAGTGAAGGTAGTGTTTCCCTGAAGAGTAATGGATTGTGAGTGATGGGTAAAGGTCATGGTCAATTGTTGGTAGTCTGTGGTCACTAGTCCCAATGTTGATAACCATTGCACCCCGAGTACGACATCCGCGCCTTGTAGGTCCAAAACGAAGAGATCAATTTCAAAGGTATGTTGTTTCTGTAGCGTAATGCGGACCTTGGTGCACATTCCTTTACAGTATAAATTGTCTCCGTTCCCAACCTGAACTTTGAACGGGCTAATTGATTGGATGGGTAGTTTTATGTGACTAGCGGCCCGTTCTGTGATGAAATTATGGGTGCTACCATTGTCTATCAGAATTTGGACAGAAGTACCTTTTATTGAACCAGTTAAACGAAATGCTTTGGTTGAGTGGTGACCAAAGAGAGCGTTAAAACTGATTTCTGGGGATGTGGGTAAATCTGGAATGGTCTCTTGAGGCGGTATATTGTCAGCCTCTTGTTCTTCTTCCTCAACTAGAATACACATAAATGCTGATCCTGATTTGCATTTGTGCCCAAAAACATACTTTTCATCACAGTTATAACAGAGTCCCTTTTCTCTTCGTGCTAGCATCTCTGTTTGGGATAAGCGCTTTATTGGGAATGGTGTTGGTTGGGATGTGGGCTGCTTGGGTGATTGGTATGTATTTGTGGTCTGTGAGCGTTGTCCCCAGCGCACAGTGCGATCTTCTGCCTCTGCAAAGTTTCTGGCTAGGCCCCATGCTGCGTGAAATGTTTCTGGTAAGTGTGCTTGTACGTCGCCACGGACCTTAGGTTTTAGGCCCGAGATGAACATACTCTTCCTTAGGCCGTCGGGTATTCCACTGACTTTGCTAGACAAAGTTTCAAATGTGTTTTGATATTCACGTACGGTGCCGGTTTGGGTAAGGCGGCATAGAGCTCCTGCCGGATCTTCATAAATGGTGGGTCCGTACCTGCTGATTATTGCTGTACGAAAGTCCCTCCAATTCGCAATCAATCTTTCACGGGATAGATTGCGGTACCAACTAGAGGCTGGTGCGTCCAAGTGGAAGCATGCAAGTTTTAATCGCTCAGGTTCTGTGACAGTATAATAATCAAAATATTGATCAACTGCAAATAGCTAGTCGGTGGGGTCTCCTTGGGCAAAGCGTGGGAAATCCAGTCGTATTGGTTTTGGGCGGGTGGTTTCCGGCCGTCCTGGGTGAGCTCCGAGGACGCTGCTTGTTGCTGCGTTCGTTCGGTGAGTGTCCATGAAATTGGTCATCTCCGTTTGAAACCGTTCCATCATGGTATTCATTTGCTCCTGATTGCTACGTTGTACCTGAAGGAGGAAAGCTTGTTGCCTTTCTTCAATCGAGGCGATGAGGGTATTCTGCCGTTCCTCATGCATATTGATTTGTTCCTGCATCTGCGCCATACGAGTTTTTTCAGCCATGGAGGTGAGTCACAAGAATGAAAGCACCAAAATGTAAGGGCGTAATTAGGGGGGAATGGGAAAGGGGATTTGAAAGGAGAAAGAGGAGTTGAGAGAGAGGATGATAAGACTTTTGCCAAATAACTCATGCCATTGAGTGATTGATTTTTCATATTTAAAGGAATTGCAAAGCCTAATCTAGAATTCAAATTGCTGAAAGGTAGGAACGTATCTTCCTAAAAATAAGCATTAACAACTAAGTCCTAAAAATAAGTACTGGAATAACAACTTTCTCTAATAAAGCAATTGCTATTTTATTGAAACTAAATTAAATGCTACTAATGGTTGGGCCTGTCATGTGACATAGTCCATTAGACGTGTTGGGGCTTGCCGTTGACGTCTGGGCCTATCTGTGGTGGGCTGATCTGCTACACCACACCTTCCGTATCCCTCCCTTTCTGGTACGGAATGATTACCGGAGGCTTTACGATTTCTTCTACGAGTCCTCTGGGTTGTTGCTCGACGAAGCGGTGCGGCTTGGCGTTTCGAAAGAAGAAGCTTGCCACAACCTCTTATTCGCCACGTGCTTCAATTCGTTTGGGGGAATGAAGGTTTTCTTCCCGAACATGCTGAAATGGATTGGACGAGCGGGGGTTAAACTTCACACCCGGTTAGCTCAGGAGATCAGGTGGGCCGTTAAATCTAACGGCGGAAAGGTGACGATGGCGGCGATGGAAACGATGCCGTTGATGAAGTCGGTGGTTTATGAGGCGTTTCGAATTGAACCGCCGGTGCCGTTGCAGTACGGGAAGGCGAAGCGTGACATGGTGATCGAGAGTCATGAGAACGCGTTTGAAGTAAAAAGAGGGGAGATGCTATGCGGGTACCAACCGTTTGCGACGAAGGATCAGAAAATATTCGAGAGAGCAGAGGAGTTTATAGGGGATAGATTCTTGGGTGAGGGGGAGAAGTTGTTACAGCATGTGCTTTGGTCGAATGGTGCTGAGACGGAGGAACCGAGTGTTGGTAACAAGCAATGTGCTGGCAAGGATTTTGTAATTTTGGTTTCTAGACTTCTCGTGGTGGAGCTGTTTCTCCGTTATGATTCATTTGAGATTCAAGTTGGAAGCTCGCCTGTGGGTTCTTCAGTTACCCTCACTTCTCTCAAGAGAGCAACCTTTTAGATATTTCTATGGACTTTGTGCATATCCTTTCATCTTCTTGCTTTTTAATCTGGAGTATTTTAAAGATTCTGATAGATTCATGCACTGGTCATATGATGTATAATATACATCGCAGGGGATGCATGATGGATGCGTTCCAAGGGGTGTAAATAAAGGAAATATTATGTTTTTAATAAATAAAAGGGAAATAAGATATATGAATTTAGTGTTTTAATGATGTTTTAAACGAGTTACGGTGCAAAGACGTTCTTGCGGAACAGACAGCTGCACTATTTGATTAGTTTAAGTTTGAAGACTTTTTTCTTTTTTACCTGAATATCAAATCAGGGATGTAATGTAGTCCTGATTAAAAGTATTTTTTAAAATGAGGAATATATTTTAAAAGAATTAAAGATTATAGCCATTAATTAAAAAAATAATTAAAATTATGATATATGTTATAAGGGTTTTATATTTGTCATGTTACATCACCCAATTCCACTTTTCTACACACTAAAGAGGTGGGGTCTACATATTTTTTTTCTCTTTTATTATTCCACTCTCTCTCTCTTTTGTTGTGTATATAAAAAAGTGGAATTAGATCATATAACATAATAAATATAAAACCCATGTTATAAAATAAAGAAGAGAAATAGAGAAAGAAGGGTGAAGAGAGAAAATATATGGAGATCAAACAAGAGTTCTCGGAAAATATAGAAATATCACTAACTTATAAATTCATTCATCATCTAGTCTTCTAGAGCTTTCAATCAAGCTTGCGTGCTAAAAAATAATTCTAACAATTGTCTTAATTATATCTAAGGTCATTGCTTATAACCATAATATTTTACATTTCTAAAATTATAATTCAAAATATTTACTTCAGGAAATATAATTAAACTCATTGATTCATAACTGGAATATGTCCATTTAGAATATTTACTTCAAGGAATATTCACTTTATTGCTATTTCAGGAGCATAAAAAATAAAGAATATAAAGAGAGAATGGGTAGAATATGCTGAATTAAAAAGTGTTAAAGAATACCCACCATGCAGACAAAAAGAAAAAAAAAAAAGTCTTTCCTTTGTGGGTTCATCAATCTTAGTTTGATATGAAAGAGGCTACGCTTCCCTTTGTGGGTTCGTCAATCTTTGTTTGATATGGTAGATATTATCGTATAGATAACGTGTTATAAAATAAAGGAGAAAAATAGATAAAGAAAATTAAAGAGAGAAAACATATGGAGAACAAAGAAGAGCTCTAGAAAATATAGAAATATCACTAACTTATGAATTTATTCATCATCATATTTTTTTATAAAAGTTATATCCTTATATAGGACTATACATAAATAAAAGAGTAAGTACATTTTTTTTTGTGAGAAGAGTAGGTACACTTTAATACACCATTAGGATGGTAGTTACATGGTATATCAAAAGTATGAGCTATCAAAAGATCATCCACACGTCATAAGGCATATGAAAGACCACATATCATTAACATATTAAAATAGATATTTTACAACAACACATTTATTTTAATTTTTTTGGGTACTCATTTTAAATTTTAATTAACTGTTATTTTTCTTCTTATTTTCATCCATTACTTTAAACACATTAAAATTCAAATAAACTTTCAGCTTATTTAATAACACATGCTACTTACTAATTAGTAATTACAAGAGAGCACATCATAAGGAGTAAAAAAAAAAAAAAATTGATACTGATAGCTATCGGAGTATCGCACCATACATCTTTAGCTGAATGTACAAGTGGCAACAGAGGAATGATGGGGGAGTTCGGTATGAAGATGGAGCATATTTTCAATACACTGAGTAGATACTTTCTTAACAAAAAGAAAAAAATAAGAATGTGATAGAAAATAATTATAAAAATAGAGATATTGTAAATGTATTTTTTTTTCTCCATATTTGATAAAGGATGTGACGAGTGATTGGTATATCCACAACACTGAAAATATTTTTTTGTAAAGGGAGCATATTTTCAATACATTGAGAGTAGATATTCGCTTAACAAAAAAGAAAAAAAGGATATGAAAGGAAATAATTATAGAGGTAGGGATAATGTAAATATATAACTTTTTTTCATATTTGGTAAATGATGTATCATGTGATTGGTGTATTCATAGCACTAAAAGTATTTTCGTGAAAGGAGTATATTTTCAATACACCTGGAGTAGGTACTCCCTTAATAAAAAGGGAAAAAATTGAGATATGAAAAAAAAAAACTATAAAAATATGGATAATGTAAATGTATTAATTTTTTTCCATATTTAGTAAAGAGAATAATGCAATCTTTGTGATTCTTGTATTTAATGCTTACTTTATTTAAAGAACAACTAGTGAACTAGGGTTCTTTAAAGAGAATAATGAATTAGGATGTCAAAGAGTTGAGTCTTAAATAATTTTGGGGTATCAATCGATGATATGAAAATGACGTTTAATTCTTGGATTTTGTTTTCTTACTTTGTTATTTAATTTAGTTTTTATATAATTCTCTTAATTAATTTCCAACTTATGCTTGAATAGCAAATGAGTGGTTGAAATCTAATTATCGTGAAAATGATATTCATGCTTATATATTTTATTTCTTGTATGACCGGTGTATTTACCGAGCATACAATATATAAAAAACTGAACCAAACCAGAAAAATGATTCGTTTTTGGCAAACTGAACCGATTTTAACAAATGGTTAAGTTTTATAATTTGGTTTGGAGAAAATGGTTTGGTTCCAAAATTTGGTTTGAAAAAATGTGATACGATAAGATCTAATTTTTGGTTTGGTTGGATTCATTTAGATTTTCACACTCCTAGAGATCGATATGATCTGGTTTTTAACTCAAAGTAAACTGAATTGATAAAGTGGTTTGGTTCGAACTGATTTTGAAAAAATTAATTTTTTAATGCGCTTTAAATCGATTCACATTTATTTAATTTTTGTTCCCACTCCTAAATTTTAATTTAGAAGTAACTATTCAGGTTGACACGACACCGTACAAATTTGACGCGAACACGAATACACTTAACATGAACACAACAAAAATTTGAAATCAATTTAAAGCATTCAACACAAATATGATCTGCTTATTTTGCTGGTTGACACGACACGACATAACACGAATAACCCGCAACCTCAAAATGTGTTGTTTATTATACAAGTTGACACAATATGACATGACATGAATAGCTTGTTAACATCAAAATGTGTAACTTATTATGCGGGTTGATACGACACGATAAGAAACGAATAACTTACTTATGACACAACACGAAAAACTTATATAAAGATTAAAGAAGGTCAATTTGTGGTTCACAGATTAACCCGCAACACGACTTATATTTTTTCGTGTCAATTCTAACCAACACAAATACGACACAAATTTAAAAATGAATTAAACTGAACACAAATTTTCCGTGTGTTATTCATGTCGTTTAAGTGAATATATTAAAAATTAACATCCCTAAATTTTATCTTCATATCGGGCAGTTGGGTATTGAACGTACGCAGTTAATCTGATGAAAAGAGATGTTTTGTTTATTGAAAGCTACTGATCGTTTTCCTTTTCCTTTTCCTTTTCACATATTACTTAATTGAGATTAAAAGATTTGAGAAGTTTCCTATGTAACGCTTTCATATTTTCAACTTCATTTTCTTCCATCTTTCCTGAATCAAGTATATGAATTGCCTCTGCGTGGAAAGGTGGAAGAATGAATAAATTCGTTACTATTAATTTCATGTATATTAATGGTTTAGCTTCTTTTCTATTCAGGTAAGAGACTACAGTTAATAAGATCACACCGGAAATATAGGAGGGCCACAAGAATTTAATATAGATTAGCAAAGTATATGCCTATGTTTATTTTAGATAATCCAACATCACTGTTCCAAGGAAAATTTTTATTACGAGAATAATTAATCCATATATTTCAATTTAGGAAGATCTAAGTAAGGAATGATGATTAATCCATATTCAAAGAATGATTGATGGTTAATCAAGCGAGACTTGGATCAATCATGAATCCTGATTTGGTTAATTTCCCCCCTAATAGAGACCTATCCCAGTGCAAACGGCTTGTCATGTCCCTTCTACCTTAGCAATGAGACATAAAAGGGCTTGTTTGTTTGCCTCCTTCGAGATCATTCAAAGGATTTACAAGCAGACTATTTGATGAAACAGAGAGCTGTCTTAGCTCAATCATAGGACTTACTCGGAAAACTATTTGACGAAGGAGAGCTCTGTTCACTCAACCACATGTCTGGGTCTTGCACCGAGACTGGTGACCTGCTTTTGGGCCTTTGAGTTGAATTTAAGCTCACGGGCCCTGTTTGCAGGCTTAGATGTTCTTCTTTACCCTTTGGCCCAACCACATTCACTATGGTGCTTAGTGGTTTCTCACTATCATTGGAGGAAGAAGAGCAACAGGACAACTCCGTCGAAGTTGTGCAATTGTTGTATCCTAAAGTTGTCCACTTACTATGCCTAAGCTGCTCTAGCTCTGTTGCTACTTCTGTCATCGAAGGCCTCATATCCCTGTGGAATGCAAGGCATCTGAATGCCAACTCAGCCATCTTGTGTATGGAGGAAAGGGTCCAAGCATCATTACTTGTTTCTTGCTCAAGGAATGGGTCTATAATCTCATCCAAAAGCCCTTTCCCAATCCTATCTGCGGCAAGAGAAGCCAGATTTACTTCATTATGAGGACGAGAGAAGTCCACCACTTTCAGTCCTGTTATGATCTCAACAAGAACAACACCGAAGCTATATACATCACTTTTATCAGAAAGGTGAAAGTCTTGATGGTACTGTGGGTCAACGTAGCCAGGGGTTCCTTGTGGGGCAGTTGAAATGTGGGATATTTCAGTCATCCCAAGTCTAGAAAGACCAAAATCTGCTACTTTGGATCCAAAATTGTAGTCCAAAAGTATGTTGCTTGACTTGATATCTCTATGGTAAATGGGGGGATTAATGGCTGAATGAAGATGTGCTATGGCTTGTGCTGTTTCAAAGGCAATTGTGAGTCGAACTTGCCATGGAAGTCCATTCCCTCTCTCCCTTTGCAAATGCTGACATAGTGTTCCGTTGGGCATGAACTCGTAGACAAGGATTTGTTCTCCATATTCAATGGTACAACCCAACAACCGAACTAAATTGGTGTGGCTCACCGAGGAAAGGAGCTTGATCTCATTCATTACTTGCTCAATACTGTCGGTGTCTCTGTGTTTTATCCTTTTGATGGCAACCCATTCATCATTGTAAAGTTTTCCAGCATAAACTGTCCCATATGCCCCAGTTCCGAGCCGTTGTTTCTCTGAGAAGCTATTCGTGGCTCTCTCAATGTCTTTGTAGGGATAGATAGGAACGCTGTAATTGCCAGTGGCTTCAGTTAAGCGCCTTTTTGTGCTCTTTGTCACTCTCAATTTGGAGCGCCGGCGAAAGAAACAACATAATGAACCCAGAGTAATCATCAGTGAAACACCGAAAACAAATCCTGCAAAATAAGTTAAGTTTCCACATTATTAAGCTAGTTTGCAGCAAACAAGGTGTCAAACTTGTTCTAATTATAATTATTAGTTAATTTGCATCTTAAGTTAATAAATTTTAAGAGCGAAAAAGATGTGTAGTTGATAATTAGTAATCCCAAATGGTTTTAGAAATATGAAATAAGCACAAGTTACCTCCAATTAAGACAACAAATTTCGCTGTTCCTCCACATTGGCCAGACAGGTACTTCGCTGCGTTGCATGCTGATGAGGCTGTTTGTTTTCAAACCCAAATTCACATGATACAATTAGTAACTCAGAAATATTAAAAACTAAAGTTGAGCTAGATGGAGTTAAGATCGTTAGTAGAGAGGCCAGAGTTTTGAAACCAGAAAGATAATTAATTGGAATCGGTATGATTCAATTAGGAGTGGTTCGATATTTGTGTTGTAACTGAGAAATACTTCGAGGGATTCAATGGTTGATCCTCTGATTTCTCCAATTTTTGTTCTTTGGTTAAATTCGTTTACCAGCACCAAGCAACAGCCTGATAGCTAAATAAGCGACAATTTTAGCATGAGAAATCTCTTACTCTATATCATGAGATGTGTATAACATAAGTTGCAACTGTGAGAAATATATAGTTGAAGTGTGAGATAACGATAATTTTTTTTTTTTAGTACAAATAACGATAAATTAGTATGATACACACTTGATATAATAGAATAGGATGTTTTTCTTGACCTGAAAATACCTAAGAATTTCTAGCTAAATAATTAGCCAGTCCGTATCTCCCCTGTTCATCTCAAACCAACACTTTTTTTTTTTTTTCATCTTTTCAACTGAGTGTCGCGACCCCACCGGACATCACTTATTAATTTTTTTTTTTTTTAATTCAAATGAATGTCACATGGGTGGTCCATGACACCCATTAACTTTTAAAATATCAAAATGCTGGAGATATTACTACATGAATAGTATTTATTTTTTCATAATAAAATTGTTCAGCATGATAAAGGAATAGTAGACACTTAATTACCCAACAGTCTAGCAACATCCTAACTATATCTCAGAATTTGACTTGTTTAAAGGATAAAGAATTCGATTCCCAGAGTCTCAATTCCTAATGAGGATAAAAAGATACAAATTTAAAACCAGATTAATGGATACATTACTAGTCCATGATTTGCTATTCTTATATCATTGGCAACGATTATATTATGAAAAAATAAATATTATTTACGCAACAATATTTAACTCTGACGTTCCACTCCAGCAATTTGATATTTTAAAAATTAATCAATGCCGCAGGCCACCGCCGCAACACTCATTTGAATTGAAAAAAAAAAGAAAAGAGAATTTAATGAGTGTAGACACTCGTTTGAAAAGGAAAAACTACAACAATGAATGTCGTGGGGTAAAGTTGTGGAACTGACAACTCTCCATTAGAAATTACTTTTTCTATGATAGCAAAAGAATGAAAAGGTTATTTGACCCAGATAGGACAAACAGTCGGTTTTAAAACAACTAAAACTTCAGTAAACATAGACTCAATTTATTGTCAATTTAGTTTATAAACTTTTATATTTATCATTATAAATAATTATTAAATATTTAATAAATCATATCAATTACGATAAATTAAAAAAATGCTAATATCCTAGATTTTTTAAAATAAAAAAAAAACTATTTGCGCATAAATAAAATGACCTATTTTTTTTTTAAAAAAAAAAAAACCATAGACTTTTAGGTAAAACTTCCCTTTCTTGCGGGCAACAGACTCCTCCAAATTTCATATACAGACAAAAAGGGAAAGTAAAGAAAAAGGAAAAGATGCCGGAATTTAATGGACCGAATAATGAAAAGAAAATTTGACCACTTGGCTAATTGATTAGTCTGGTTGACTTTAATTCCCCGTAATCATGGGCAGCTCCAATAAATTAAGTGACAAGCATGTTTCAGGTTCTCTATTTCTTCCCTCGTTACTGCTTGCTGTTGCTGCCGGGTCCTACTTGTGTTCTTTATGGCAATCTTTCACGGCTGGGGGACACTCTCATCTCATCTCATCTCATGACTTGTATCTATATGATGATTTTTATTATTTATTGACAGTTATTTTTACTTCGCTTTTTTTTTTTTTTTTTAAATAACATATACTCTAATTTTTCTCATTTGTGTTCAATATAAGGTGATATACACCTAGTAAACATGTATCAATCCCTGTATTATTAGTTCTATATTACATATAAATTGATATAAAAATTGTAGTGTAAAAAAATTAATTTTTTTATTAATAATAATTATACTTTAATTATTTGGATGTATTTTTAAAGTTTATACTTATGATATAATTTTATATTGTCATTTTTAATAAAAAAATTAAATTGATTAATATATTATTTACTTATCAAAAGCATTTACCTGTATTTAAAATTTGTATAAGAAATTAATTAAGATATGTATCATAAACAATTAGCAATTTATATAATGATAGTATATATACAATAAAACTAAAAGAATCAGTGAAACGTGATTTTTTTTATTTTTAATTTTTTTGTATAAAAAGAAGCGTGACTTTTAATTGTGTATATGGGAAACATTGTGGCAAATTACTGCATAAAACAAAACATTTTCAGCATGGAATTATTTCCTATAGACAGAAAGAAAAGTCGTCAATGTCAGAATAAAATTAAAAGAATAATATGCAGAAAGGGACTTGAATTATTAAGCTTTTGTAAAAATTCTACGCAGACAGAAAAAAGTTTAGAATAACGAAGTGTGGACTCTAAGCTTGAACTAAACATCTACTTTATTTATTTATTGGCAGTAAAGCATTAATTTTGATGCGATTATTTAAGTACAAAAAAATGTTGGGCTAGAGCTACGCTATGTTATTAATTAATCTAATATCTTAAGAAAATTAAGGAGAAAAAAAACAAAACTGACCTTTGTGGCAGCCTGTTCCGGCCAAAAACCCATCGCCGACGAACCCTTCCTTGCAGCGACACCGGAACCCGGGTTTTCTATCAAGCGGCGATTCAATTATGGAACAATTGGCATGATCAGAACATTGACATTGATCTCCCTGAAGCCACCATCCAAGCTCTATTGTGGCTACTTCCAAGGACACAGCCGCACCCGAATTGTACCTTAAATCATCTGATGATATAGACGACATAAAGTACTCGCACCCGATTTGCTCTAAATTTTGTTCACTCACGAAGCCCCTCGTGTTGTTCTCAAAGTAGCAACTAAAATTGCTGCTGCAACCTTCAGACTCAAAGTGAGTCTGCACCAGGGTCCCTGGTAGCGTGCAGGGCAAGAGCGTTTCGGTGCAGTTCTTTAATAGGATCACGTTTGCTGAAGTGGGTGCGTATTTGTGGCTGAAGAGTTGATGGAATCGATCAAATGGGCGATTGCAAAGGGCTTTGATGCCCACGATTATGCCGTCTGCGTTTACTGATAGGACTGGGAATTCACCGATGTAGATTCCGCCGTCGGGGGTGCAGTTGAGGCGGATTGTGCAGCCGGAGGAAAACCCAAAAGGATAAGGGAAAGGTTTGGCTGAGCCGCATGTTTGGTGGCACTCGCGGTAGTTCACTTGGGCTGTGATTATGGGAAGGAAGATTGATACAACACCTAAAACTAAAAGGATCACAAGTGGGTGTTTTGTGATCATGGCAGAGATTATCTACGGAAGGGGATTTCTCATTTATTCAGGGAGAAAAAGAAAGACACAACAGAGAGAAGAGACAAGCTTTTATTTTTGGTCACTGAGAGACTTTTGTGATTGATCGGAGAAATGAGGAGTGACGAGAAAAAATAGATTAAAAGAGAATATCAAACAAACGCAAAGACTTTTGGGGTTGATCAGGATCAGAAATGGATGTGATTTTCCAGATAGGAATGCTTTTTGATTGGGGTAACGTGTGGACATAAGACATGAAATCCGTTAAGAAGACTGACTAAAAGGGTGGCAAATTTGTTCTGTTCCACACCTATCTCAGTCCTTGTATTTCTTTTCACACTCCTGAAAGAATAGTTTAAGGGAAAAAAAAAAAAAAATTGCCTCATCTTAAATGATACATCTTGTGTTATTTTATTCTCATAAAGAGTTAAAATCCATATTTTTTTTAAAAAAATTCACTCACTCTCTTCATTTATCTTTTTTTTCACTTAAAATAATATAAGTTTGTATCTTTCAAAATGATATACACTTTTTCTATAGTTTAATGACACAAAATAATGACAAAAGGGCAAAAAAAAAAAAAAAGATCGTGACAATGAACTAAAAATAGGGGGAAATGTGTATTATTTTGAAGGATACAAAATTGTGTCATTTTGAGGAAGAGAAAAAGATAAATTAAGAGAGAGAGAGAATGGATGAAAAAAGTTGTAAATGTGTGAGTTCTATCTCTTTGTGAGAACGAAAGAATATAAAGTGTGTCGTTTAAAATATAGTAATAAAAAAAACCGTTTTTGAATGACCGCAGTCCGCACATACTTTGAATAATCTTGGTGTGCGCTGATGCCGCTTGTTCACGGGGTACAGTCACATTTAAGACGGTGAAAGGGTGCGCGTTATAAGTAGTTCTCCGGGCTGAGAGGAAATGAGACGTACATCAGAAACAAATTGTTTCAATCGGGAACCAAATATTTTCAGTAAGACGAATTTTGTGATTATTATTTATCGCAGGGTTAAATCAAATTTTCTCTAAGAATAATTTAAATACTTTCAATCAGCTAGTAATTTAATAATTTTTTTAAAAAAATTATTTTAAGTGATAATTGAGAAGATATAAACACGTAAAAAGATTCAAAAAATTATAATATTTCAATCCATTGGCAAACAATGATTGATCACAATAGAAATTGAATGTGACTCCAATTGAAGTTTACCAGTAACGTAACATATTCCAATATCAGAAAAGAGGAACTTAGCTAACCACCAATCTTGATTCGAGAAAATGGCTCCCAGGTTAGCCTATAGGGATACCCAATCAAACAAAAAATATTTCAACGGATAATCCTGACTATCCGTGACACAAAATGCACGATTGTGTGATGAGATCTAAATTGAAGTATGTTATCATTCCTCCAGCTTAAATGATATTAAATATTTAATTTTTTAATAAAAATAAAATAAAAACTCAATAAATAAGATGTCATTATTAAAAATTAATTTGATATTTTTTAATTTATAAAATTATAAAAAGTTGTGTTAAATAAATGAGAATTATTTACATTATTAATTATTATTTAACTCAATAAAATAGTGTTAAATAAATTCTCATTGGTCGAAAAGTCTTTTTGTTTTTGTTTTGATAAAAGTAAAAATTGAACACATAATCTAATATAATCTACTCAAATCTCTCACTATTAAACCAATCTTACTGGCTTTAAACTCTAATTTTTATTCATACTTTGTTTGTTGCGAACTTTTAGAATTTCAGCAAATTAAAAAATGTTAAATTTATTGTTAATAAAAATATCTGGATATATGATTTTTATTTTCAAATAATTTAAACATTTAATAATATTTAAGTTGGGTGGATAATATTGTACTTAATAATTGTTCAAATACAGTAATTAATCATGAAATATTATGATTATTATTAAAGGATTCCGAATTGTTATATAAAATATTAGAATTCTTTCAACAAAATAAAAAAATTGATTATTAAATTATAATTATTATACTAAATTAACGTTTTTAGATTTATAAGGATTTTGAAAATTAATTATAATAGATACACGGCTTCTTCAATAATTCTTAAAAATTAATTATTTTAATTAAACATAAATTTATACAAGATCCCCGGATAAGATTTGTGATTTAGAACTTTTAGAACTTAACCATCTCGTGATTCCGATTAAATTGAAGAAAAACTACAAAATTAAAATTTAAATAAACTATTTTTGTCACAATGAAGAGGTGAGGCACTCGCTTTCAATAATATAACAAACATCTCGTGACAGCCAGTTTCATTAATTACTTATAATAATTATCACTTAATTAATTGTTTATTAACTGAACTTTCTTTACTTCACCTAAGATACTAATTTTTTTTTTCTAGGGATGGCATAGAGTCCCCAAATCATTATATATTCATATATTATAGAAACTCTCCACATATCAAACCAATAATTTTCAAGACTTGCCGAGAGCATCTCGTGTGGTTTGGTCACCCGTCACTCTCAAGTCTCAAATCACGCCTAATCGACTCATTTTAGTCTTTTTCTGCTACCATATTGAGCACTTGCTTGGTTACAACTTACAAGAAGGACATTTTTATTTATATTGTGTGATTTTCAAATTATCCAAATAGTATAATTTTAAAAAATTTACAGAGTAACGTAATTTTACGAAAGTAGTAGTTCACAATTAATAATTTTTATAAATTATTAACGGATCATTTTGTTTAGTATTTACTTTTTTGAAGTTACGTTCTCCACGTATGATTAACAACAAATTTTTTTTATCTTACAGGTCAATAATGCGATCCACAACTTAATATTTTTCAATTTGAACCAATTAATATGAATATCGTGTATTGCACATGCATTTTAAATTTAACAATAATTTAAAAAGTAAATTAAAATAAAAAATATGGTTAAAATTTGGGAAGAAATAAAAAAATTAATATAAAAAAATTAAAAGTAATTAATTTGAGAGTATAAACAATCGAGAATCATAGAAAAAAAAACTCAATATCAAATATTTAAATGTAGTTAATTTAAAAGTATAAACAGTTGATATTTTAAAAAATAATAAAGTTTAATGTAAAAATATTTTCAGAGTTCTAAAACACACAAAAAAATGCTAAATAACAGTGAAGCTATGTGTTTTGAGGAGAAATAAAATGCAATAAGAAATTATCCCACTTTTAAAAATAATAACTGCATTTCATTATATAATAAGGGATAAGATCCGTTTACAATTTTTTTTTGCAAATTACACTAAGTACGACCGGCGGTACACACGATTAAAGTATGATCGGTCGTACTTAGTGTAATTTGTAAGCAAAAAAGTTTGTAAATATAACCTGTCTCATATAATAAAAAATAAAAGTCGTTATTGTCATTAATAAATTCTTACTATTTTTTAGTAGAAGTGAATGCTATACAGGACTTAAGACTTAATAGTTAATTCTAATAAAATCATGGCCGTGACCCACGGCTTAGGATGGACTTGGAGGAAAATTAGCATGTACTGGTGTTACTAGTTAGTTGGTAATGTGTAATAGGTTTACCTTCGATGCATGAATATTATCATTGTGCATCGTTCCAGACTCACGTTTCAAAGGGTCATCTGTCCACCTGAAGCATGCATGTGATCACTACGAAGCACGCACAAGCAAAATTTAAAAAAAAAATGCGTCTCGACAGGTATCGAATACCGATATGCTCTGACACGTTTTGACACGCGGTTAATATTTTAGAACAAGCGATCAATGCTTTGACACATTTTTTCAACACGCAGTCAATCTTTTTTGACACGCGGTCAATGCTCTGACACATATTTGACACATTTTTTTTTTAAGTCTAAATTTTATTTTATTAACTAAACATAAAAAACAATTTATAAATCAATTTTTTTCTGTTAAGAAATTCGACATGAAAAATTAACAAGGTACAAAAAATTATTTTTGTTTATATTTATGTTACGAAATTTTAATATTTGATTGATTAAATGACTTATTATGGACTGTTATATGTATTAAATATAAATTACATTATATATATTAAAAATATTATTTAATATCAAAACGTGTCTCAATATGTCGAAATATGACATTTTTTAGAATTAATATGTCGGCGTGTCATGTCCCGTATCCCGTGTCAATGTTGGTGTAACATAATCTGATCATATGCTTAAATGGAAGAAGAGAAATCATCATGTCTTAAACGATCAAATATTAAGAAATATAACATGCATTAAAATGAAAATGAAAAATTAAAATAAGTAAAAGAGATTTGGTAATTTACTGAATTCAAAATCAAATTGAAGAAACTCAACCTAAAAACGAAATCGTTCAAAGTGAATCAAAAGCCAAAAAGAATTAAAATAAATAATAAATAATTTTGATTAAAAAAACAAAATAAAACCCAATCCTACTCTCGCCGTCACCACCACTATTTGCACTAAATGACTGGCTCCGATTGTCAACAAATTCCGTATAACTCTATCCTCTTATACCTTCGGAAGATAACACCCAGCACTATAGGACCTTTGAATGTTCAACGGGGCTTGTACTGGAGACCCAAAATTTAGAAATTTTTTAATGTGGTCCAGGACTACTATGGTTCTTCCACTTAAAATTTGACACCTGAATTAACTTTTTTCTTTCTTTTTTTCTCTCTCCTCTCTCCTCAATTTTTTTTTTCTCTCCAGTCCCACCAAACCTCTTTTGGTCCGCGAGTACATTAACTTCACTCCAAAATTTACACCGTAGGACCCTATACTTTCTCTACTTTTATTTTGTTATATCATTTAGAATAAAGAAAAGGTTATATTTAAAAAAAAAATTACAAACTATACTATGTTTGATCGATCAGACATTCTTGAGTAAAGTTTGATCGGTTTGACATAGTGTAACTTGTAAGTTTGTAAAAAAAAAAAAAAGTTTATCAATATAACTCATTCTCTTAGAGTAAAGTACATTTTTAGATACTCAATAAAAGTTACAAGGCTAATTTTAATCTCTTAAAAAAAATGATTATTTAAAA